CGTCGTTGAACGTTCCTGATCTTTCTTACGCCGACATCTCCGGCGACAACGTTGTCACCTGCTTTCTGTCAAGTTCTTTCGCCGGACTGCAGTTTCTGTCGTTAAAGGGAAACAAAGTCGCCGGAGCTCTGCCGGAGTTTAATTTCAAGAATTTGGAGCATCTGGATCTTTCCGCGAACAACTTCTCCACGAATTTCCCCACTTTCGGCGGCTGCTCCACCTTGCGACACCTGGACTTATCTTCCAACAAATTCTCCGGCGAAGTCGGCGCCTCACTCTCCACGTGCGCGAATCTCAGCTACCTCAACCTCACCGGAAATCAGCTCACCGGCGAATTTCCTAACCTCACCGCCGGCAGCATACAGTATCTATACCTCCAAGAAAACCATTTCCAGGGCACTCTCCCACCAAATCTCTCCGATTTATGCAAAACCCTAATCGAAATCGACCTCTCGTCGAACAACCTCACCGGCGCCGTACCGGAAACCCTCTCCGCCTGCTCAAGCCTCGAGCTCCTCGACATCTCCGGCAACAATTTCTCCGGTGAGTTGCCCGTCGAGACGGTACTCTTGAAACTAACCCGTTTGAGGATTTTAATATTTTCTTTCAACAACTTCGTCGGCGGGCTTTCCGATTCCTTGTCGGAATTAGTAAACTTGGAAACCCTGGATTTGAGTTCGAATAATATTTCCGGGTTCATCCCTTCCGGGTTGTGCCAAGATCCTCGAAACAGCTTCAAAGTGTTGTACCTTCAGAACAACATGCTCACAGGTACAATCCCTCAAAGCTTGAGCAACTGCTCGAAATTGGTGTCGCTTGATCTCAGCTTCAATTACTTGTCCGGTACAATCCCGTCGAGTTTGGGCTCCTTGTCGGAATTACGAGACGTAATCATGTGGCTGAATCAGCTCCACGGAGAAATCCCGGAAGAGTTCATGCATTTGCGGAGCTTGGAGAATTTGATTCTTGATTTCAACGACTTGTCGGGTTCGATACCGGCCAGCCTGAGCAACTGCTCGAATTTGAATTGGATTTCGCTCTCGAACAATCAGTTGACCGGAGAGATACCGGCTTCGTTGGGTCAACTGTCGAATCTAGCTATATTAAAGCTCGGTAACAATTCTTTATCGGGCACGATCCCACCGGAGTTGGGTGATTGCCGGAGCTTGATTTGGTTGGATCTCAACACGAATTCGTTATCCGGTACAATCCCGCCGCCCCTTTTCAAACAATCCGGCAACATCGCAGTCGGATTACTCACCGGAAAAAGCTACGTGTACATCAAGAACGACGGGAGTCAACAATGCCACGGTGCGGGGAATTTGCTCGAGTTTGGCGGCATTAGGCAGGAGCAGCTGAACAGAATCTCGACTAGGCATCCTTGTAATTTCACGAGGGTGTACAGGGGAATCACCCAGCCTACTTTCAACCATAACGGTTCGATGATTTTTCTCGATCTCTCGTACAATAAATTGGAGGGTGGAATTCCGAAGGAGCTCGGTGCGATGTTCTACTTGTCGATACTCAATATGGGGCATAATGATTTATCGGGCCCCATTCCTCAAGAGCTTGGTGGGTTGAAGAGCGTGGCGATTCTTGATTTGTCATACAATAGGTTGAACGGTACGATTCCACAGTCGTTGACCGGTCTTACTTTGCTCGGAGATATCGACTTGTCGAACAACAATCTCTCGGGAGTAATACCCGAATCGGCCCCGTTCGATACCTTTCCCGATTATCGATTCGCGAATAATAGTGGGCTTTGCGGGTACCCTTTGCCAAAGTGTGTGTCTGGTTTGGGGGCGCCGGGGGGTGGTGGCCCCCACCCGAGGTCCAATCGGAGACAAGCTTCACTCGCTGGAAGCGTGGCGATGGGGTTGCTATTCTCGTTCTTTTGTATATTCGGTTTGATTATCGTGTTCGTCGAGACGAAGAAGAGGAAGAAGAAGAAGGAGGCGGCTCTCGAGGCTTATATGGAGAACCACTCGAATTCGGCCACGGCACAAAGCAATTGGAAGCTTAGTGCTAGAGATGCGTTGAGCATTAACCTCTCTACGTTCGAAAAGCCATTGAGGAAGCTCACATTCGCGGACCTTCTAGAAGCAACCAATGGCTTCCACGACGACAGTCTCGTGGGGTCCGGTGGGTTCGGTGATGTGTACAAGGCGGAGCTAAAAGACGGGAGTGTCGTCGCAATCAAGAAGTTGATCCACGTCAGCGGCCAAGGGGACCGTGAATTCGTGGCCGAAATGGACACAATTGGAAAAATCAAGCACCGAAATCTAGTTCCCTTGTTGGGCTATTGTAGAGTCGGTGAAGAACGGCTATTGGTCTACGAGTACATGAAGTACGGAAGTCTAGAAGATGTTTTACACGATAGGAAAAAAATCGGGATCGAATTAAATTGGTTCGCGAGGCGGAAAATCGCAATCGGAGCGGCGCGTGGATTGGCTTTCCTCCACCATAATTGCATTCCGCATATTATCCATCGCGACATGAAATCGAGCAATGTTTTGCTCGACGAGAATTTGGAGGCTAGGGTTTCGGATTTCGGAATGGCGAGGCATATGAGCGCGATGGACACGCACTTGAGCGTGAGCACGTTGGCCGGTACTCCGGGGTACGTACCACCGGAGTATTACCAAAGCTTCCGATGCTCGACTAAAGGGGATGTCTATAGCTACGGGGTGGTTTTGCTAGAGTTACTCACCGGTCGTCAACCGACCGACTCGCCCGATTTCGGCGACAACAACCTCGTGGGGTGGGTGAAGAGTCACGCGCGGATGAAAATAAGCGACGTGTTCGATCCGAAGTTGATTAAAGCGGACCCCACTATAGAAATCGAGCTCTTGCAACACTTGAAAGTCGCGTGCGCTTGCTTGGACGACCGGCCGTGGAAAAGGCCGACTATGATTCAAGTCATGGCGATGTTTAAGGAGATTCAAGCGGGGCCCGGTATCGATTCGGGGTCCTCGATTGCGGTTGACGAAGGAGTGGAGATGAGTATAAAGGAAGGGAATGAATTGAGCAAGCATTTGTGATTGAGGAATATTTAAATTGTTGTTTTGTTGTATTTACTAGTTACTAAATCAAGAAAATCTTGTTTTTTTTTTCTTTTTTTTTTTTTAATTATTATTATACGTTTAATTAACTTGTAACATTATTGTACATATAAAGTTTTGAGTTTGTTGTATTTTTATTAAATTTTTGTTTGAACTTCTGTTTTTTTGGGTTGTCTGAATTTAGATTGGGATGTGTGACCTCATAGTGATGGTGACTGACTAAGTGGATGGTATTTTTGGATCTTTCTTTCTACTTTTTTTCATAAATTTTTATTATTATTATTTATTCCTTTTTTCGTATTGTTTACTTTTGAATTTTAAAATATTGAAAAATTGTGATTATGGTCAATACATGTACTTACACATGCATTGGAGGTCATACATCAAATCCTTCATTAGGGCCTATTTATTCATGCTTGACAACTGTCTATTTTCCAGCCATTTTTTTAGTATTTCTTCTTATAATAATAATAATAATAATTATTATTATTATTGTTTTAATTTTATTTTCACAAAATTAGGTGTATCATAATCCAATAATTGTTAGGAACGTTGACCGAGTCAAAAACTTTAATATAGATATAATCATTTGTATACAATGAATTATGAATTTTAAGTAGAGAGCCATTAGAACTTGAATTATACAAGCAATCTTTTAAAGGTCAAATATGTGCAATTTTTGTTTTGAATGAATGCTAATGATATACAATTTATTGGAAAATATTTGTCTTTTAATTTTTCTTACTTACGTATTAAAAAAATATAAAATATCATCGAATTTAAGGGAGAAATATATTATGAGGTGATAAAGAAAAGTTAATGTTTGACAGAGATGTATTAATCTGTTTAAAATCGAAAAAATTCATATAATATTTTACTGAAATTCTAAAGTGACCGATAATATTAAATAACGAATATCTGTCGAGCGACAATTAATTTTAAAAGGAGAAGTAATTGAAATGAAAACCTTATTATTATTTTTTTTATATAAATTCATTTTCCTACCACAACAAATTGGATAATTGGCATTAATGCCTTTGTAACTAGAATCTTTATTTATTTATTTATGAATTATTATTTTTCTTTTTTTAGTAAAAATGAAAATCTTACTTTAGGAAGATACTATGTATTCATTTCTTGGAATACAATTTGTCATCATATTTTATATCAACTCTACTTTTAAGATTAAGTGGTCCTCAAAATTACATTTGGTTTTTATTTTGTGTTTTTGTGTCTTCAATATGTGTGTAGTGTGTGTGTGTGTGTACACATGCGCATGTGCACGTGCGTTTCTTGCTTGAAGACTATGCAATATGCATTCCTCAAAGCAAGGATGCTCAATTACCCAAAAAAGGCACATTTTACCTTAAATTGATAGAACATGAAACTCCAAATTTTCTTTTGCGAAAATTACGGCCGCCCCCTCAGAAAAGATCAAATTATAAAAGAAACCCCTCATCTTTGAGTAACAACAGTTACCTCTCAACTATGTATTTTCTTAGAAAAAACTCCTCATTCAGTAGGTAAATTTGACACCGTAAGAATGGACATGTAACACAGTGCATAGTTGAAGGAGATGGTTGTAATTACCCAAACAACATAAGAGATTCTTTCGTAATTTAACATTAACTTAAGGGGCGGCGTAATTTGTCCTTTTCTTTTATCCTATGGTGATATATTTAAATATTCTAATTACTTTTACATATAAACTTGTTATTATTTCTAAAAATCATGTCTTAAATTATTTGGAGATGCCATGAATGGAATGTAGCAAAATATTTATAAAAAAAAGTCCAAACAAAAAAAAAAGAAACTATATAAATTAATTTATTTATTTAATTAATATAAACCCTAGTGTTCAATTCCAAGGTTGGACCATGAATAAAATAAACTCTTACATCTCATAGTTTCAATGCATCAAGGCACAAAATTAATTAATGTCTGAGCCACTTGCATTTAAAATATAATAGTAGTAATTAAATAAATATTGTTTACTTTCATAATTCAAGATTTGTCCCTATCTCTTGAACCAACTTATTTCCTGGGGGGTGGGGGTGTTGATGGGGGCATGTTTCCAAGGTTCAAAATCAAATTAAATATATATATATATATATATATATATATATATATATATATATATATATATATATATATATATATATATATATATATATATATATATATATATATATATATATATATATATATATATATATATATATATATATATATATATATATATATATATATATATATATATATATATATATATATATATATATATATATATATATATATATATATATATATATATATATATATATATATATATATATATAAAATAATCCTAGTTTGTCCCCTTAATTATCTTGCATTAATTAATTAATTAATTTAAAATAAATAATATTAAATAATCCACTTGTTCTTGTTCATATTATTTTCTAAAATGACCCAAAATACACGTTTATATCTCAGATCCCAATAGAAGAATTACATTTTTTTTTAATTATTTAGTACTGTTTAATTTTAATACATACTATACAAATCTCATACCTAACTATAGTATTTAATGACAATATTTTTTTTTTAATATAATTATTTTATTTCAATTACTTCCATTACAAGTGGCTTGGAATTTAAAGCATCTATTGAACCGTTACCTGTCATTTCGATAAGAGAAGTATGTGGAATACGGCTGTCCTAATTGACGTACAAATTAGTACTATGCCATATATTTATTTATTTATTTTATTTTTTATTTTTAATTAAGAATGAAGAAATTCTTAACGAGCTTAGATATTCAATGGCTTTCACATATATCCGTATAAATGAATTGAATCGAGTCGAACTTATGTTTGATTATGGTATAGACGAATTGAATATTTGCTCACACGCATGCTTGTTCAGATTTGTTCAAATATCTATCGAATTTTGAAAGTTGTGTTTGAGTTTGGTTTGATAATTAAGCAATGGAGTCGAGCTTAAATGGACTTCAATCGACATGAATATGAATTGAGCCCGATTAGCTAAAGTTGTTTATTCTTTTATATTTTATAGAAAAGTTGAAAAAATCTAATCGAACTCGAGTTTGAGCGGAGTTACGTATTCTTATCAAACAAAAATGTATGTTCAAATTTGATTCGTTATTTTAACAAACTAGCCAAACGAGTTTTTAGTGAGTAATCTTAAATTAAATATCGAGTGGCTTTGTTTGATTTTCACCCCTATTTCTATTACTACTTCAAATCTCAATTATAAATATGATTGCACGTCAAATAGATTTATCCGATACCCAATTCAAGATAGATAGCTAAAAGGTCGTATGATCATTACAAAAATACGATAAATAAATAAGATCAAACTCGATTTATGTTCGGCTATATTACATATTGTCGAACACGACTCAATTTCTAATCAAACCAAGCTTTTGCCAATGTTTTTTATATCGAGTTTGTTAAACATGGTACTAGGGCTCAATTTGACAAACTATTGAGCTCGTAAAAATATTTGGGATTGATGTCTATTGGTAGATTGTGATCCAATAATATTATACTTGATAGGCTCAAAATTAGGTCAAAGCCCCTCAAGAATAAGTATGACTTATAAGTTATAACCATAAAATGTACGCTTTATTTTATACACAATGTAGGCTACTGCACACACTAAATCACACGACCAATGCAATCCTTTTACTTTCTTCTTTAACTGTTTTCTCTAAAACTAATTTGAGCGTCGGAGGATCTCCCGGGGCTCAAACCCTGAAATAATTTTCGGACAACCGAAATCAGGGAAGATGTTTGAAAAAAGCCAATGTTAGTAATGATTCAATCGACATCCATCAAATAGTTTATACATAAAATAGTTTACATTTCTAGTATAATTTACGCGTAAATAGTTCACTGCGAATTCCTTTAGTATTAAAGAAGGAAAAAGAAAAATACATTGTTGACATAGAAGTTAAAAAATGAAATTTAAATAACACGTTGATTTACTTTATTTTAATTATTTTTTCTCCTAAAAGAAATACTTTATTTTAATTAATTTTAAAGAAGAAGAAAAACACTATTACATAAAATAGACTTATGTGGAAATTAAAATGGTCTCACGTGCGTGAGAGCGAGTGAGGGAGATGGAAATTTGGCATATTGATAGACAAACATAACTGTGTGGGATGTGTGTGTACGTGGGTAAGAGAGTGACCATCACACAAAGGGACACGCGCGTGTGGGCCCTATCACCTCAATGGGTCGGGCCGTGGGGCAGAACTACCATACCAACATTAATTACTATAGCTGTCATTTTATTATTGTTTTAATTAATTTTATGCTATATTTTAAATATAAATAATAATCAAGAATTATTGTTAATTTGTAATAAATAAATTAAGAATTTTTTTTTAATAGAAATAAATTTTATATATTAACTGAATTAAGAAATCATTAATATAATATGAATGGATTGTATATTTTACAGCTTTTATGAGTTGCGACTTTGTCCTGAAAAAAGTAATCGGAAATAGAGGTGTAAAAGAATTGAGTCGAGCGTACAACATGATTGTTTAGATTTGTTTGTTGGATTTATGATTCGTTTGATTGAAAATTAAGTTGAGGTTCAATGAGATTTGATCGAGTTGAACATGAATTAAGTTTGTGCATCTTATTTTTCTTAGACATATATTCTACTATTTCTTTTTCCATAATTGAGTTCGAGCCGAACTTATTATCAGATCGAAAAATTTCAAACCAAGTTCTTCATATCATGTCATCATATCATATTATACCATATCAAACTCTAATGAGAATTTAACGATCAATCTCGAATCGAATATCAATATTCTGGATTTATTATATGTTCTATTCAAAGATAATTCTTTTGAATTACTAATTTAATAAATAAAAAATCGAATTACTAATTCATGATTATATTTTGTTTGAATTTTATTTGTAAAATAAAGTATTATGCCTCCACGAAATATAGTAATTAAAAAACATTTTTTAAAAAGAAAATAATTTAATTTTTAGTTATGAAAAAAAAATAGGAGGGCTAAAAAAGGAAAAAAGGGAAATAACAGTTGCGGAAAACTGCATCTCCTCAAGTAGTAGTTCAATTCAATCACTCTCTTATCTTTCATCAACCTGAGAAAAATACATGATTGATGCGAGCCGTCCTTTCATCAAATATCAGCCGTTGATTAGTTTTCGGTGGAGCCCACACGGTACAATCACATGAGTGCCTGTGTACTCGATTATTACCCAGCGAGTGTAAAAAAAAACAACTCAGAACACACATGGAAGCCGAAGTTTGTTGGGCCCCACGAATTCTATTTTTAGTAATAAAAAAGGAAATTGAAGAAAATAAAGAGGAAAAAGGAGTGATATTTTGAATCAGCTAATTTGATTGAACTCTTAACTGAATTTTCAGCCCAAGTGACGTCGTTTTTGTTTTAATATTTAGGGTAAATTACAACCAACCCCTTAGGTATGGTCAATTTACGAAAAAAACCCCTCTTATTTGGATAATTACATCTACTCCTCAATAATGATTTTTTCTTGCACCTCCATCCTTATGGTGTCAAATTCTACATAACCATCTAGATTTCGTGGAATGTGCTCTAGTTTGTACTTGTTTTGTGTAAAAATACAGTTTTTGATGCACCATATATACAAGCCAAAAAACACATATTATGATCATCTTACTTGAAAATATGGAGTTCGAATGGGAATAAATGGGTACAAAAGTGATAATATTCCATATAATTTCGAAGATTCCACTAAATTTGAAATCGTAAGGGTGGACGTGTAAGAATATTTATAGTTGAGGGGTGGTTATAATTTACCCAAACAAAAAAGGGGTTTTCGTAATTTGGCCATACTTCAGGGGTAGTTTTAATTTACCATAATATTTAATTTATATTTATCTTCACTATAGAGGTTTGGCCAATTTTATATGATTTATATTTAAAATTAAGAGAAACGGTGATAGCTTTATAATTCCAATGATGTATTAATTACCCTTCTTCTAATTTTGCTCTTACAACTCATAAATTATTTTAAGGGTAAAGTACAACTATCCTCTTTAATGTACAGTTAAATTACGAAAAAATCCATTATATTTGAGTAATTACTCCCTTGACTATAAGTTTTTTTACATGTCCATCGTTATGGTGTCAAATTCAATTTAATCTTCCAGATTCTGGGAATGTTCACTAGTTTGTACTCATTTTGTGCAAAAATGCAGTTTCCGATGCACTAGAATTAATATATATAAGCCAAAAAAACACATCCTTGGTTCAAAGTGTGGAGCTTGAATGGGATTAAACGGATACAAACTGGAAAATATTCCACATAATATAGATGATTCCATTAAATTTGACACCACAATAATGAACGTGTAAGAAGATTCATTTGTTAGGGGAGTTGATTGTAATTACTCTTTATATCAAACATTAATTCTCGTTAATAAAAGATATAATTAATGAATAAATAGTTAAGCCAATGAATGATATATTTTTTGATCGATTTAAATTAAATTTGACCGAATTAAGGAAATAAAGAAATAAAAGAAGTTGGATAAAGAAAATTGAGTAAAGAAAAAAAAATGCCTAGGAATAAGGGGTATTGAACGTGCGGGTCACAAGGGACCACGTGGTGGTCCCCGGTTTCTTTTGGAAGTTAGTGTGTAATAATCGCTTTTTTAATCAAAAGCGACTTTGATTATAGAAATCCCTCACGTGCTCTTCTTCTAAAAATATGTATGTATATATGTATGTATCATTTTTGTGTGTGTACGTATTATGTATGTATTGATTTTTGTTTTTTCTAGAATAGATCAAATGGATTGAGTAAATTCTTAATTAAATATCACTTGATATTTTAGTGATAAATATTATGAATACTAGTAATATTATATTAGTAGTAATAAATTTTTTTAGATGATATAATAGTTCATTATAATTCAAACACATTTTTTTCTTACATGAAAGCATAGAAATTAAGAGGGTGTTTGGCTAAGCTTATAAGATGTTAAAAGGAGCTTATAAGCTCTTCCAAAGTGTTTGGTATTAATTTTTTTTAAAATAAGCTGTTGGAGAGCAAATAAGATCTTTTTAAATAAGTACATCTACCCCACCTTTTTATTTAAGATCTTTTAATGAGTAAAAATAGGAAATAAGCCCATTATCCAAACACTCTAAAATTTAATCCTAAAAATAAGATGTAACAGCTTATCAGCTCTTAAAACATCTTATCAGACGTAAGAGCTTATCAGCTGTTTAAAATAAGATTAGCCAAACACCCTCTAAAGAACAATTAATCCGTGGCGTGCAGAACTAAACATTCTAATTTACACGTACAATTTATTTTTATTATATTTAATTATTTATTACTCATAGTCACATGCAAAGGATCTCCTTCTTTAAAAGAAAAATATTTCTTGGAAAAATATATAACAAATAAACCCAAAGTATATACTTTTAATAAATTTGTAGACACTTGAGAGAAGTAAAAATAAATAAAAATATAATCCTTGATATGTGTAATAAATAATTAATTAAATAAATAAATAAAATAATAGGACAAGCTTGTCTCACAATACAAAATATTACCTTTGGACTCCAATTACCTTAAACTTTGGGACTTTGTTTCTACTTCTTGTTCTCATTTGTCTTGTTTTCCTCAAAATTCATGCATTAATAATCCACCAAAATTAATTCATGGCTTTTTTTTTTATATATTTTTTTAAATTTTGTTATGTACATTGTCAATTTACTCAGGTTCGAAACCCTTTTGTTAACGGTCACGAGGTGGAACTCGTCACATATGAGCAGTCTAGTGTAGTTTATGTCACTCGTATAGTTTGCAAACTTTTATACGAGAGTGCAGGTTAATTTAGTACACTTATTTGGTTGGCTGTGGATTTTTTCGATTATAATTCATAAATATTATTAATTTTCTTTAAGGTCTAACTTCTCCCTTTTTTTGAAGGTTTAATAATTAACTCAAATATTATGATATATTAGTTTTTACTATTGGACTTTTAGCACTTAATGAATCGTGGTCCAATTTGAAGGCCCAAAATTGTAATTTAACAGAATTTTGAATAATATAGAAAAACTGTTGGGCTTATGTTTTGAGTAGGCCCAAATAAGGCACGGGTATCTGTTTGCAAATTGTTTTTTAATATGTCTGATTAGGAAATATTACACTTTTCACCCATCAAGTTTGCACGAATTACATATTTGGCCCCCCATGTTCACTAAAAATATATTTGTTCCCTCACATTTCAATAATTTAAAATTTTTGGTTGTTTTCGTTAATTTACTTTTACTCCATCAGTTAAGAAAGTGATGGGCACACACTTGATTCATTTAGTACTAATGAAAAATTAACGGAAATGACTAAAAATGTTGATTTTTTGTAAGATGAAGGACTAAATGTGTTTTTCTTGAACATGGGGGACCAAATGTGAAGTCGATACAAACTTGAGAGAGGAAAACTGTATTTTATCGTGTCTTATTACATTGCCTTACAATATATTCTTTAAAAATTCGATTAACTTATAAATAAAATAGCAAAAATTGTATATCTTACTTCGAAGACATTGCCCCTAACTTGGACGGAAGTACATCTTACTTGAGTTCGAGTTCGGCGAATTTGACCATTTTATCCATTTTAGGTGCAAGAAAATTGAACAACTCTAGCTTTTATTTTTCACCAAAATATGAACCATCAACATCCTATACTATATTGAGATTTGACTTATTTGGTACTATTAGTGTGAGAAATAAGATGAACGTGCTGGAGAAGAGACGTTTTGTTTTTTGAAGGACTTGAAAGAAAAAAAAAATTATGTTACTAAAAGTAATCATATATAATAATTAATAAGCTTGATTGATTTTGTCTCACGACTCAATTCTATGATGAAATCACGTATTACTTTTTGTAATATTTAATCCAAGTGAGCATTTGAACTAGAATCATGTTTACAAGTAGTCCTTTCAAAAATAGAAATTTTGACTTCGTATACAAAATATTTTTGGATAAATTACGAAAACCCCCTCAACTTAGGCTAAATAACGAAAAACATCCCCACCTATCTATAATAATAAAAAAACCCTATGATTAACTGTTGATCGAGTTTTTTTAACGAAAAATGTGTACAATCTATTATACCTTATGTTAAATAGGTGAGAAATAAAAGAAAATATCTGAAAATTGTGTAAAGTCTAATAAAATCTGTAAAAAGTTACACTATAAGGGATTGGTGTAAGACGGAAACAAACCTCAAGGGATTTTTGACAATTACGAATAGATGGAGGTTGTGTTTGTAATTTAATCTAAGTTCATGGGGGTTTTTCCTAATGTACCCAAAAATTTTACTCCGGGAGTAAAATATTACTTTGACATGCATTCAGCTCGAGGACCTGATTGAAAATAATCATTCCGATTTGGGCTAAATTTGCAACATATCAAAAGATACGCGCGATTTCTGAAAATTCACTTTCAAATACAATAATTTATGTAAATAATTTGTAATAAAAAATCACCCAGTTCTTTTTCCCCGATTTCCATTTTCGCCTTCACTCCGACCTCAGAAAAACGGAAGAGAGAAAGGGGAGATTGCATCTTCAACGATGAAACCGATCATCTAATACGGCGTCGTATCAGGTTCAATTCTACTGTTTTTATCTGCTTAAATCGCTGCTTAATGTTTGCATTGAGATGCCGAAAAATAGGAACAAATTGTAGTTTTTTTTTCCCTTTAGCTGTAATCATTGTATAATCTTAGGGGATTAATGAACGATGCTTGCGAATTTTGTTTTTTTTTGCTTTGAATTTTGAGTAATACAGTTGATGATTGAACTTGTGAATTTCACTTCAGTATTTGTGAAATTAGTTTTCGAATTATTTTGAATTGGTAGAGGCAATTAGTTAGCGTAACGAACTTCTCTTATTCGGAAGCAGCTGCTGTAATTCAATCAATCCCTGGTTTAAGAGTCTCTCTATAGACGATTTGTTGAAAACATTTTGGGATTTCGATTTATATGCAGGGGTTTTTGTATGGATTTCGATTGTTGCCCCAGTGAGGATAGCCTTCCGGTACTGCAGTTGCGGAAATGGGGTCCCTCTGAATTTCCGTATAATCCTTCCAATTTTAGAGAGGGTTTTATTTCTCCAACAAGGAAGTCGTTGTTGTTACTTTCTTACGATTTTGAGGCGCTATTAATTCCCTTAGTTAAAGGTGATGTTCTAACTCGTTCAGCGTTTTTTTTCATGGGATGTCGTGTTCATGTTTCGAGAATTTTAATTATTTGCTATTTTTTTTGCAGGCCTATGCCTGAATAAAAAGGATCCTGATTTTTCTTCTGATGCAAAAGATTATAGTACACATGAATTGAGTCTGCCTAGTATTTCTGGCTCGAGGGAAAATTTATCTAGCTCTTCTGAATCTGAGCAGTTGGGTAGTGGTATTGACTGTACACCAGTGGTTGGTTTTTCAGGATATACAGATGTGTTTATATCTGATGTGGATTCTGTGGCATGGGGTCTATGTGGGGATTCACGTGAACAGCATGAAGAGGCTTCGTTTCAAGAGCTACTATTTGTGTCGGGAAAACACGGGGTGGTTGTACATGCTTTTCCTCGACGTAATGAATCCAGTGAAGTAATAAAACCTGCATTAGCAATTGATGTTGGGAAAGGGACATGGGCAGAGTGGGGTCCGTCGACGACGTTATCTCCCGTTTTGGAGGCTCAGCAAGAATCCGAATCTGATGTTAAGGACTCTAGGGAAAGGTCAAATAGTTTTCATGGAGAACCTATGGGTGATGGTCAGCCAGCAGCTCCAAAGAAATGGTTGCGCACTTTCTTGACTAACGTTGAAAGTCCAACACAAGGTAATGATGTTTACACCAGGTTTCCAAGAAAACCATCCTTCCCTAAAAATGCTGTTGTTTCATTTAGGATATTTGATCAGGATTCACAGTTCTTGGACTTCCTTTCTCATGATAGTACGAAAACATGTGATCAAGAGAATTGCAGCATGCCACTTGACGGTCCTGTAGTCAATAAACCAGATACAGGTCTTGTTTCATCCAACGTGGCACTTGAGAATGATAATGTTTCCAACTCTAGAGATGGTGCGGCCAGCAGTTTGTATAAGTGCCTCAAAGTGTTCTCGAACAATTCATATCAGTTGGTTGGATTTGCTCTAGCCGTGATTAGTCCTACACATGTCGATACTGGTTATGAAAATGGTGGAAATGATAGTAAAATTCTGATAGCTGTGGCCAGAATAGTTAGCTCGGGAATACAGTGGCTGTACTCAGCAAAGCCTGACGAAAATATAGGTAGTGGGACATTTGAGTGGACAGACTTTACTTTTTCCGATAAATTTCTTATCTCTCTTAGTACGTCTGGCTTGATCTTGTTTTATGGTGCCACAACTGGTGCATATATAGCCTCTATTGATTTTGTAAATATTAGTGGACCTGGTTATTGTCTAAATTCTCGAGACCAAAAATATGTCAGAGATGTCCCTAATCAAATGTATGAAAAGAGGTTTAAAAGGCTCTCCGTGTTTCCTCATTCCTCATTGTTGGGTGTGATCGATGAATGTGGTGTAATCTATGTTTTGCTTACTGATAACCATATCCCAGAACCTTCGTCTGGAAACATCTCCACTTATCAGCAATATCCAGCCCTTGGAACTTTAACTGGCTGGGAGGTTGGGGGTGCTGAAATTGGCTACCAAAGGGTGCGTTGTAATACTACGGGGAAGATTAGTAGGTTACCAGCGCATGTTAAAAGTTCTTATTCCGTTGGTAGTTTACCATGTAACGAGCATCTAAAAAATGAAGACAATAATATCAAGGACTGGAAAAGTCACAGTGGCTCGTGTATCAGTACTTCATCTTGTGCAACCCAGATAATGAATCAGAAGAAGTTTCTGGTTTCTGATTCTGATTTTTCATCCCGCCACACGAGGAAAGTGTTTCTACCCCCATCGGGGCACAGTGAAGATGATGTTATTTGCTGTTCTCCTTTTGGTGTGACTCGCCTCATTAAGAGATATAAGCAGAAAGGGTCCCAAGTTGTGCATGCCAATATACAATTAGATTTCATTGTGAATGATGAAATAAACTATAACAAGCAAGGCTGCGAAACCTTTTCTAACAAAGCTGTTGGTTGCAATTTCCATGGATTTTTATATTTAGTGACAGAAAAAGGTCTTTCGGTTGTTCTTCCTTCAATTTCAGTTCCATCAAATTTCTTTCCGGTTGAAGCAATGGAATATAGTTTACCAAATTGTATCAATAGCACAAAATGTGAAGCTGGTATTCTTATGGGATTTGGTGGAATAAAGAAGCCCTGGTCACCTTGGAAAGTGGAGGTTTTGGATAGAGTTCTTATATATGAAGACCCTGATGTTGCAGAAAAGTTATGCTTGGAAAATGGTAAGAATTTCTTTGGCAATAAATAATGTGATATTGACTTGTTACTATGTTTATTGACCTATTATATACATGAGAACAAATGATTATATACCAAGATAATGATGAGAAGTTGAATAAATTAATATTTTGTTACATGGCTGCTATTCCATTCAATAATGAATTATGGTGTTTGAGCATTTTGATCTGCAACTTGAATTGGATTTCACAGCTAACATTTGATATGTTTGCAGAGTGGGACTTGGGGATTTCTCGGATCCGGCACTTGCAGTTGGCTTTGGTCTACCTGGAATTTGACGAAATTGAGAAGTAAGATCTTTACCTCACTGACTTCCTTACTTTATTTTATCACTTACAATATGAGCATGCTGATCTGGAAGGTACTGAAGGTTTTACTTATGCAAATGAATGTATAATGTGTTATCTATAACATTTCTGTGTGAGCACCTATCGGTACAGAAGAATTTCAATGATGTAGAATCTAAACATATGCTTCTCACTTGGACAAACAGATCTCTGGAGATGCTTATGGGGGTCAATCTGGCTGCGGAAGGCATCTTGAGAGTCCTTTTTGCTGCTGTTTATTTGATGTTCTATAAAGTAAGAAATGACAACGAGGTTTCTTCTGCGTCAAGGTATGATGTTTATCATGTTCCTCAGCTACCATATTAGGGTATTTAAAAAATCTGGCTGCGTAGTACTTAATGCTTGTTGTGGAGCTCAATGGAAACTTGAGCAATTTCTGATGACTTATGTGCAAAGATCTTAATCATTAAAGCCGAAAACAAGTTTCTTCGCACTTCTATCTTAGAAATAGGTTTTGTGCAGTATAATGGCTGCATCAACTTAAATAATTATGGGAATTTAAATTCTCTTAGAATTCCACTCAGGACAGAATCTGAAAGGAATTCCAACAAGGGGGACTATGGTAACCTTGAATATTTACTGGGCTTCTTAATCTTTGCCACAATGCTAATTAGAAGTATTTGCTTAAATAAGTTTTATTTATTTTTCTTTTCAATGGCTTAGTTATATTCAAATGACTAGATTTCAACAAATGATGACACAGGCTTCTAGCGTTAGCCAGCAGTTATGCAACGAGGGTCATACGTAAATATGGTCTATTGCAGCATAAGAAAGTAACTGTGAGTTCATGGGATGTTAGAGGTAATGAAGATGCTTCGTTCCTGTTAGAGTTAACAGATAAAGAACACGACGAAGAGGAAAATTCAAGAATCCTTAAGGAAATGGCACAGTTTTTGGTGGTCATCCGTGGTTTGCAGGGGCAATTAGATGCCAAATTCAGAAGGCCAGGAGTGTTGGTAAGTTCTTAACTAAATTTGCTTATTTTTCTAAAAGGCACTACAATTAATGGAATTTTCCCCCTTTTCTTAGACGGACAATGGAGGGTTGCCGAACTTGGTTGGTGCAGAGTTACCTGATGATGAATCCAAGGTTCCAATTGTTTCAGAAGATGGCTCATCGTTGCATATATCAGATCGACATCTAACTGCACTTCCTGCACCTGGAACAGGATCAAGTGATTCAGAATATCTTGCCTTAGTCCCTGTTGATTCAAGCGGAGCCAAAATCACAGATTCTCATAACTTTGATGGAGCAGTCCTGGATTCTGAAGGAAGTACTCTGGGAAAGATGACTTTTAAAATAGAAAATCCGAAAGATATGATTGCACGCTGGGAGATGGATAATATGGATATTAAAACTGTTGTGAAAGATGCATTACTTTCTGGCCGTCTTCCTTTGGCAGTTCTCAGATTGCATCTTCATCATTTGAATAATGTTGTACCTGGCAAGGAAACTCATGATACCTTTAATGATGTCAGAACTGCTGGAAGAGCGATTGCTTATGATTTATTTTTGAAGGTTGTTCTTTTATTTTTTATTTTTCTGGTTATTAAGTTGAAAGAATTTATCATGCTTGTTTTAATTATATATGATTTATAACGGGTAGGGTGAGATCGGGCTTGCTATAACAACATTGCAAAAACTTGGGGAGGATGTTGAAACCACCTTGAAACATTTAGTATTTGGCACTGTTAGAAGATCCCTCCGGGTGCAAGTTGCTGAAGAGATGAAACGACGTGCATACCTTGGACCACATGAGTTGAAGATGTTGGAGATGATATCACTAATAGAGGTATGTGACACAGTTTTTTAGTTTATATCGATCCAAGTTCTGGAATCATATAACTGGAAATTAATTTTGAGCTGACAGTAGAATGTTTTTTTTCCCCAAAGAGGATATATCCCTGCAATAGTTTCTTCAGTACACTGGCTACCCGACAGAAGGAACTTAAGAAAGCACCCGTTGAAGATGCAATTGGGGAGATAAGTCTTTCTCTATTGCATCCACTATTCAAAAATCGTACCATTTCTTGCGGTGAGATAGATGGAGTTGTTTTGGGTTCATGGACAACTGTTGATGAGCATTCTGTTGTTTCTGAAGTTGATGATGACAGCAGCCACGCTGCTTACTGGGTTGCTGCTGTAGCATGGTCAGATGCCTGGGATCAAAGAGTTATTGACCGTGTAAGTCAGACGTTGAAATTTTTGATTCATGCTATTAATATGCCTGTTTTCAAGAGCAAATGTTGTGCATGGCCGATGCAACCAATAATTATCTCTTTTATCCAGGCCATGAGGATCACTTGGGCTATTCATCATTCCCCTGTAATAACAGTATTTTCTAGTAAATATTATAATCATATATAGAAAGTGTACCTTGCCAACTCAAATTAATGAATGATTAGGGTGGCCTTGTCACTATTGTGAATGCACTCCTCTTTTAGGGTGTGTTTCTTGAGTGGATTAGTTTGTCGAGTTTTACGCATGACTTTACTAGTGAAACTTTCGGGGAGTTTTAACGTACTTCTTGTGCAGGTACTTCTGGGCCAACCTCTCCTTATGGGTGTTAATGTATTGTGGGAATCACAACTTGAGTACCATGTATGCCACAATGACTGGTTAGAAGTTTCCAAGCTACTAGAGGTAATTCCGTCATATGCACTATCTCGTGGAAACCTTAGCATCAGCGATGCACATGCAGCTTCATCCATTGAGTATGGTCAGGAGTTTCCTGGATATAATAATTACAGCAACTTCCTTGAAGAGTTTGCTATATCTATGGATGTCCCGAGCATCAGAATTTTCAGGTTTTCTGCAAATAGGGCATGCTCTGCGTGGTTAAGAATGCTCATGGAACAACAGCTTGCAAAAGAATTTATCTTTTTGATGGATTACTGGCAAGGTACAGCTGATATTGTACCTTTGCTGGCCCAATCAGGTTTTATGATTGACATGCATGACAAATCATTCCTGGATGGAGCCAATGACAGCTCATCTGATTCATTACTAGTTACCGGTGATGCATCTATTAATCCGGATACTGTCCAAGCGCTGCATAAAGTTGTTATACACTTCTGCGCACAGTATAATTTGCTGAACCTTCTGGACATTTATCTTGACATTCACAAACTGGCTGTTGACCATAACTCTCTTTCCTTTTTACTGGATGCTGTGGTAAGTATACGTTATCAATTGGCCCTATCTCAATTTTTATTCTCTGGTTTTAGGGGATATACGTAGGGGGCGGTAGACATCACTTAAGTTTTTGTCCTTCAAAGTCATGCAGTTGTTCAGATACATTGGATGATAGACATCACATAATTCTTTTGGCCTTCAAGGCTGTGCAATTGATCAATGTTTTGCAAATCTATGTTGTGTATTATGAGACACTGTTGATAGGGTAATGTCATGCTTTATGGTAATCCGACACTTTTGATTTTGTTTAATTTACTGCATGCCGACACTTATGAGTTTGTTTATTTACTGCATGTTTCTTCAGGCGGATAATGAGTGGGCAAAGTGCTTGCTCTTGCTGAGGGTTAAGGGAAAAGAATATGATGCATCGTTTTCTAATGCGCGTGCAGTTGCTTCCCGAAATTTAGTTCCAGGAAACAAAATGAGTGTGTTGGAGACTGATGATGTCATTAAAGCTGTTGACGACATAGCAGAAGGAGCAGGGGAAATGGCAGCTTTAGCCACGTTAATGTTTGCTCCTTTGCCTCTGCAAGAGTGCCTTAGTAGTGGTAGTGTAAACAGGCATTGTAGCTCTGCTCAATGCACCTTGGAGAACCTTAGACCAACCCTTCAACGCTTCCCTACTTTATGGAACACACTTGTTGCTGCATGTTTTGGTCAAGATCCTGTTTGCAGCAATTTGGTTCTTAAGACAAAAGGTTAGTTATCATATTCTTTTCTACTCATGCATGAAATTTATAATTGAATAGCACTTCTGTTAGATTCTCTAATTATCTCTTTCTGTATCTAGTGTCAGGCTATTCTGATTTGTTAGATTACTTGAATTGGCGGGAAGGTGTATTCTTTTCTTCTGTCCGGGATACTTCAGTTCTGCAGATGATTCCATGCTGGTTTCCTAAAACTGTTCGAAGATTGATTCAGCTTTATGTGCAGGTTATACGGAAACTGGCTTGGTTATTTGCATGCATCTGAGGAATTATCTCTTTCTCTACATATTTTGTTTTTAGTATGATATGCATCTTCAAACACATTTACTGTGCAAAATCTATCTTCCGGTAATGATAGACATTTACCAGCGGCAACAATTAATATTCTCGATGCATTTTGAATGTCTTCTTTTACCTAAATTTTCTGTCTGAACAGGGACCAATTGGATGGCAGTCCTTAGCAGACTCGGAAAATGAAGAACTCTCTATGCTGCAAGATATCTATTACATCGTAAATTCCAGTGGTCATGCTCAGATCAGCGCGACCTCCTGGGAAGCTGCCGTCCAAAAGCATATAGAGGAGGAACTCTATGCATCTTCTTTGGAGGTGATTAATCTGTCTATGAGAATCCTTAGTTACACATGGCAAGAAAACTTTTAGATTCTGAATCCTCCAATCTGTCTCTCATAATAACACGCTTAACTTTCAAGATCCCAATTTTGGGATAATCTCTTCCCTCTTTGGGGGAGGAAATAGTAATCACCAGAGTGAATTAATGAATCCCATTGCCTACTTTTTGTCTTTATCATATGACTTTTGTCTCTTTCCTCTGTTGTTGCATCATATTGCAATTCGTTTTATTGGTGGTTTCAGGGAGCTGAGCATGGGCTTGAACATCATTTGCATCGTGGACGTGCATTAGCTGCTTTGAATTATCTCCTTTCAGCAAGAGTCCACAAGTTGAAGGCTGATAATAATCACCAGGGACAATCTGAAACCTCATCAAGTGGGCAAACAAACGTCCAGTCGGATGTTCAAAGCCTCCTTGCACCAATAACAGAGACTGAAGAGTCGCTTCTCTCATCAGTAAGATTACATTCATCATGCATAAGGAAAAGGAAATTATCATGATTATTTGCAACAGAAGACCAATTGCATTTTGCCTGCACGTCAACTGCTTTTACTGTTGTAGAATGTGACTTCATATTACTTTTTATTGAACTCAATAGAAAATCGTTCTGCTAATATTATGTTAAATCATTCCTCCTTTAGGCATAGATTGCTTTAAATCGCGTGATAAGTAAAAAAAACAGCATCTGTTATTTGTTTGAAGCCAAGAACTTGGGCTCCGCTTCCAATTGAGCATAAGACTGAATCTCATTAGGACTTACGGATTGTGAAGTTGTATTTCTGTTCTGATATATGGTTTGCGTGGGGTTCAAGTCTAGACGTGAATGGTTAAACTGTGACCGACACTGTTATGAAGTATTGGTAAATGTTCCAAGGGGCATGGACATCTGTTAACTCATGATAAACCACCTCAACTACATGTGTAATTTTATACACCTCCCACCAAGGATTGCTAATCAAACATTTTGAGGATTACATCTTAGCCAAATAATCATTCCAGATTTTATCTTCAAAGCAAATATGTAGTTTTGGGGGACTAATTGTATATACCAACAACCGAAGCAAAAAAGCCCGTAATGTAAGGTGCTGGTTGAAGATTCAAACTATAACTGGATGTTAGAATTTAATTAGATTTTCTGTTGTTACTATCAGGTTGTAATGCAAATCCGGCCCTCATATTTTTCTTTTCTGATATTCAGGTTATACCCCTTGCTATTGAGCATTTCGACAACTCTGTGTTGGTGGCATCGTGCGCGTTTCTTTTAGAGCTTTGTGGTTTATCTGCTAGTATTCTCCGAATTGATATTGCTGCCTTGCAAAGAATATCTTCTTTCTATAAGTCTGCTGAGAACAATCAGTATAGGCAACCATCTCCCAGGGGCTCTGTATTTTTTCCAACACCTGTTGAAGTTAATGTAACTGAATCTCTCGCACGATCACTAGCAGATGATTATCTTCATAAATCTTCTAGTAACACAATGCAGAAAAGTGACAGAAACAATAGTATTTACAACCAACCATCACGAGCTCTGCTGCTTGTTCTGCATCACTTGGAAAAGGCAAGTCTTCCAACACCATTCAGTGGTGCGACATGTGGCTCTTGGTTGTCGTGTGGAAATGGGGATGGGGCTGAGTTAAGGTCTCAACAGAAAGCTGCAAGCCAGCACTGGCAATTGGTCACGATTTTTTGTCAGATGCATAACATTCATTTAAGCACTAAATATCTTGCTGTATTAGCAAGGGATAATGACTGGGTACACTCTTCTGATTCCTCTTTTCTTAGATAGTGCATGTTGTCATTCTATCTCTTTCTTCTGCTTCTATTTCTTTTAAATAATATATGTAACAGTAACTTTGTTTTTCTGTTCCCTATGCAAAACTAGGTTGGGTTTCTGTCAGAAGCTCAAGTTGGAAAATATCCCTTCGAAACAGTAATCCAAGTGGTAAGTGTCCCTGTTAGAAATGCTTTTTAGTAAAAATCTTCATGTTCTGGACTACCTTTTATTATTTAAACTGACTGCTGATGCCGTTTCATATTTTATCAGGCGTCAAAGGAGTTCAGTGATCCCCGTCTAAAGATTCACATTGTGACAGTTTTAAAAAGCATGCAATCTAGGAAAAATATTAATTCGTCGAAATTGGATAATGCAGAAAGGACTGGAATTCCTTTGTCAGATGGCCTCTACGTACCTGTTGAATTATTTGGAATTATAGCGGAATGTGAAAAACAGGAAAGACCTGGGGAGGCTCTTCTCCTGAAAGCAAAGAACTTGTGCTGGTCAATTTTGGCCATGATTGCGTCTTGCTTTCCCGATGTCTCCTCATTGTCCTGCTTAACTGTTTGGCTGGAAATAACTGCAGCAAGGTTTTGAATATTACCCTCTATCTATGTTTCTTTTATATTTGAAGTGTTTCCACGAAAAGTCTTGCAGATGTTTTGATTTCCATAGTTGTAACACTTTCCATGAAGCCTTGGTCCAATGCTGGAATCTTTGTTTCTCTTTAGTTTAGAGAAGAATAAAATGGCAAATTTCTTGTCTTACAGGGAAACATCTGCTATCAAAGTTAATGACATTGCATCCCAAATTGCAAAAAATGTTGGAGCTGCAGTGGAGGCTACTAACTCCCTTCCCGCTAGTGCTAGAACTGTAACATTTCATTATAATAGGAGTAACTCAAAGCGTAGGCGCCTGGTGGAACCCATTCCACTGGATTATTTGTCTTCAACAGATTCTAAAATTTCTACAGGTTCTGGTCCCTCCAACATTCAAAGTGTTATATGTGAAGAGGAAAATGAGAAACTAAGTGATGAAGATACCATTTTTTCAACTGATTCTGATAGCATGGTTAATGCCTTGTCAAGAATGGTAGCTGTACTCTGTGAGCAGCACTTGTTCCTTCCTCTGCTACAAGCTTTTGAGATATTTCTTCCATCATGCTCGCTGTTACCTTTTATTCGGGCACTTCAGGTTCGTTACTGAACTGTACTGGGTACCATTACAAGAAGAAAGTCAAAGATAATATTGTGTTGTTGCTGGAACAGAAATCTTGCTTTTTACCGCTTATTTGTCCTACGTTCTTGACGTTCTCTGGTCTGTCTTTCAAATAAAAAGTATAAACTTTAGTTTCTGCTTGCCTGCTTGTTATCTGGTATTGCATAAAAATAAGCTACTTGATACTAACTGAACCACCCAGTTCATTGTGAATTCCAATTGGCTGTTGCTGTCCAATTTTTGCATTTGCGAAGGAAATACTACGAATGAACTCTCTCAATTTTGGATATGTAAGGTGGCACTTCTATCAGAAACCATGATGGAGCATAAGGCCACTTGAAAGTAACTGTATATCATTTGTTTTTCACTTACTCTTTTGTTTATATTGATGCGCTTTATTCCAACTGCCTGAATGTTAAGTTTCTGCTAGAGTATTAAGGTTTATACTTTCAGCTGCTTGTTTGAGAAAGGAATAGATTGTGAAAATGTTTTTAGAGCTTCTCCTTGTGATTTATTTTTGTTATTCCCGTTCTACTACGTAATTCACATTGCTCAGCATGCTTAGTTTTTATTTCCCAGTTACAAAAGCAAAAAAAAGATACAATAGTATATGCATTTTACATGATTTTAAATTTTGGCATCACTCTCATCTGACACTTTAATCAGCTAGAATTCTTTTTTCGCTGTTAGGCCTTCTCACAAATGCGCGTATCAGAGGCTAAAGCACATCTTGGATCCTTTGCTACCAGAATTAAGGAAGAGTACTTTCATGCACAATCTAACTGGGACAAAGAAGGGAGAATTGGAAATTCATGGACAAGTTCCATGGCTGTGAAAGCTGCTGATGCAATGCTTTTGACATGTCCGTCGCCATATGAAAAAAGATGCTTGCTAAAGCTCCTTTCTGCTACCGACTTTGGTGATGGAGGGTCTACTGCAACACGGTATGGGCAATTATGTTGGAAAATAGATATGGCTGAACCTTCTCTGCGGAGTGTTGACTACCCCCTCCTAGGAAATGAAACTTTTGATGATTCTTCCCTTCTAACTGCATTAGAAAAGAATGGGTATTGGGAACAAGCTCGCAGTTGGGCCAAGCAGTTGGAGGTCAGCGGTGAATCATGTTGGAAATTTGCATCCAATCATGTAACTGAAATGCAGGTACTTTATTCCTCAACTTTTGGTTTCCATTATCATATGCAAAAGAATATCATTAATTTTGCCATACCACGTTTCTGCATATCAGGCAGCTTGTATTGCATCTTTCTCTTCATGTTACTACTTTTGGAAATTTATTTTTTGCAACTTCACTCCAAGCCTGCCATACATCTTTCTATTAAATTTCTTCAGATGTATTTTTTGTCTAATGTTGTTTTACTAGGTGCATCATTGGGGTTACTGAAATTATTCTTCATCATATCCATGGCATGGGATTATCTTTAGCTCTAGTTTTAGTACTTAGTTTGTGGGGTTCAGTTGTTGCCATCCTGTTGTCTCAGTATCTTGTAGCACTGCATTTTGTTTGTCTCGTACTAGAGGGGTACCAGGGCATGGCTCCATGATGTGATTCATTGTGGATTCTCGGTTCTGATATCTGAATCATATTACTAGTGAATGCAGTTTGACTGTTTAATTCGTCGCTTTGGCCTTTTCATATAACAACTTTCCAACAGAAAAGGTGGCTTATGAGTACTGTTAGTCTCACTGAAGTACTCAGTTTAACCTTTAGTGCTGAATCTTTGGTCACTGCCAGTTAGGACCAGGATTGTGTTGCATAGTCATCATAGTGAACAACCATGTGGTAATTTGGTTGTCGAATAACTAAGAATTTTTATTCCAACATTATGGAGAATATGTTTATTTTTTTGTATCTTCTTTAGTTCTCATCTATTTTTCGTCCAGACGTGTTTTCGCTTTTCATGTGTTTCTGTCCATGTTTAGGCTGAAGCCATGGTTGCAGAATGGAAGGAATTTCTTTGGGATGTCCCAGAAGAGAGGGTTGCTTTGTGGAGCCACTGCCAGACACTTTTCATCAGATATTTCTACCCAGCAATGCAGGTAAAATTGTAACCGAGGTCAGGGAATGGTAGTTATCACACACGTGTTCCACCATGCTAATCATTTCTGTAATACTATATTTTCCCTAGTTGTGACACTTTAAAGTTTCTTAAATTTTACTACCCTTTTCCTTGTCATGACACTGTCAAGTTTCGTAGTTTTTCTTTTTCTTTTTCTTCTTCTTTTCTTTTTATCTTTAACGAGGTGGGGTGAAAAGGGGGACAGCTCATGGATGTATGTTGGTGGGACGAGTTATTTGGTTTTCAATACCTTTTGGCTCTATATCTTAATTTCAGTTAATCGCTCATTAGATGAAATTTTGTGTCCTTTTCTGTATGTAGGCAGGGCTATTCTTCCTTAAACATGCGGAGGCAGCTGAAAAAGATATTCCAGCTAGAGAACTTCACGAAATTTTGCTACTTGCTCTACAGTGGCTTAGTGGAATGATAACTCAGTCAAATCCGTGAGAATTTTTCCTTTTCCCTTTAATTTCTTTTTCAGTTAACAGTCTTTTTTGTCCATAATTAGCGTTCCAGTGCATGATCGCGTACTCAGAATGAATAATATTTACAGTTGTTACCCACTGCACCTTCTGCGAGAAATTGAAACTAGAGTGTGGCTCCTGGCTGTGGAATCAGAAGCCCAGGTGAAGAGTGAAGGTGAAGATTCTTTAAGCTACCTTACCCGAGAACCTGGAGCTGGCAAGGGATCTAACTTAATAGATCGTACTGCAAGCATTATTGCGAAGATGGACAATCATATAAATACACTGAGGCTCAAATCTGTGGAGAAGAGTGACAGGGAAAACAGTCAGGCACTTCTTAGAATCATGCAAACTAATGAGTCTAGCTCTTCGAGCTATGCTGGGGGGAGTACAAAGACGAAAAGAAGAGCAAAAGTCTTTGGATCATCAAGAAAGCCTTTATCTGATGCAGTGGATAGGAAGTATGACGAATCTATTCCGCTGAACGTCAGAGATGACTCGCATTTTGTAGATGAAAACCTTAAAATAGATGCATCATTATCGAGGTGGGAAGAAAGAGTTGGACATGCTGAACTAGAAAGAGCTATTCTTTCGTTGTTGGATTTTGGGCAAACAACTGCTGCCAGACAACTGCAAAATAAGCTATCTCCTGACAACACACCATCTGAATTCTTACTCATAGATGCTGCCTTGAAGTTTGCAGCACTCTCAACTCCAAGCAATAAAGTTTTCATATCAATGTTGGACGATGACTTGCGCTCGGTATTACAGTCATACAATCTACTGACTGACCATAGGGTGATCGACCCCCTGAAGGTACCGGTTCCATTTGTTTCTTTTGTTCTTTGTATTGAAGAATCCTTACGGAGGGGGTTCGACGAACATTCCAGCTAGCAACTTCTTTAGTACCATTTTTTGCCTGTAACAATCTTTTTTCTAATCCAACATGAAGGAAGATTATAATTGTGATGCATCTAGTCAAGAACAGAACAATTTTTTGCCCTTTGCTTGTGATATTTGAATTCTGGAACCATATTCCGGAAGATGGTCCATCTGCTTGTGATTCTGCTTATTAATATCTTTCTTGCAAATGTAGGTCCTGGAGAGTTTAGCTACCATTCTTATCGAAGGTAGTGGACGTGGACTATGCAGGAGGATAATCTCTGTTGTGAAGGCTGCAAATGTGCTTGGTCTTACATTTTCAGAGGCATTCGGAAAACAGCCAATTGAACTGCTGCAATTGCTTTCTCTTAAAGCGCAAGATTCTTTTGAGGAAGCCAATCTTTTAGTACGAACTCACTCAATGCCAGCTGCTAATATTGCTCAGATTCTTGCTGAATCTTTCCTAAAGGTGAATTTGATTTTTATTTGATGTTATTACAATAAAATGAGAATTGCTGCTATTGCTGTCATCTTGGAGCTTTGGATCTAACCAAGACGAATTTTTTTCCCGTATTAATTCAAGTATTTTTCTTCTCGAATTGTGCTTCAAACACTTTTTTTCCTGCGATTCATGCTCAGCCTAGAGTTTGACCAAGCACCTTCGGTTTGTTTCTTAAGGAAATTCTTGATATTTTTCGCCTATGGCATATCAATATATTTGCAGGGTCTATTAGCAGCACATCGTGGGGGATACATGGATTCCCAGAAGGATGAAGGACCTGCTCCACTGCTATGGAGATTTTCCGACTTCTTAAAATGGGCTGAGCTTTGTCCTTCTGAATCAGAAATTGGCCACGCGTTGATGAGATTAGTAATCACGGGGCAAGAAATACCCCATGCATGTGAGGTAATGTTTATTCTCCTCTAATGTTAAATGGCGCAATGGTTCGGATGTTGCTTGAATTTATTGTCTATTATGTCACTCATGCTAATTACTCATCGGTTAATTTTAAGGAGTTGGGGTTGTATTTAGCAAACAATCACATGGTCCCTAGTTCCTTTCTCTCTCCTCTAACCAGAATCGAACCTCCTATGTTACTGAAGTCCCTCGTTTTATTTTAGCTGGTAACATAATCTTCCCTAAAAATGGATGCAGGTTGAGCTCCTTATTCTATCCCACCACTTCTACAAGTTGTCAGCGTGCCTTGATGGAGTTGACGTGCTTGTAGCTCTGGCTGCAACAAGGGTAGAAGCTTATGTATGGGAGGGTGATTTCTCATGTCTTGCTCGCTTGATAACGGGAGTTGGAAACTTCCACGCCCTCAATTTCATACTCGGAATTCTTATAGAAAACGGCCAATTGGATCTCCTCCTCCAAAAATATTCAGCCGCTGCAGATGCAAACAGTGGTACTGCTGAGGCTGTCAGAGGATTCAGAATGGCTGTTCTCACATCACTCAAGCAGTTTAATCCGAATGATCTTGACGCATTCGCCCTGGTTCGTTAATTTACAATCCTCCAATCACCCAAACTTCTGCTGCCCCTAAAGAATATTAGAAGTATATCATTTTTTTTTAATCTCTTGTTCAGGTTTATAACCACTTCGACATGAAGCACGAAACTGCTTCCCATTTGGAGTTACGTGCAAGGCAATCATCTCAACAGTGGTTTCTCCGGAACGACAAGGATCAAAACGAAGACCTACTCGACTCCATGCGCTTTTACATCGAAGCTGCTGCAGTTCACTCCTCCATTGACGCTGGCAATAAAACTCGAAAAGCTTGTGCTCAGGCATCACTCGTATCCCTACAGATCCGAATGCCAGACACAAAATGGCTCAATCTTTCCGAAACCAAGGCACGAAGAATACTAGTGCGCCAGTCCCGTTTTCAGGAGGCACTAATTGTAGCCGAAGCCTATGGTCTTAACCAGTCAAGTGAATGGGCTCTTGTGCTTTGGGAACAAATGCTCAACCCAGAGGTCACTGAACAGTTTGTAGCTGAATTTGTCGCTGTACTACCTTTACAGCCATCAATGCTCGTTGAACTCGCGAGATTTTATCGGTCTGAAATGCAGGCTCGTGGGGACCAATCACAGCTCTCGGTTTGGTTGACTGGGGGAGGTCTGCCAGCCGATTGGGCTAAGTATATCGGGAGATCATTTAGATGTTTGCTGAAAAGGACAAGAGATATCAAGCTAAAATATCATTTGGCCACAACATCGACTGCGTTTGATGACGTAATAGATTTGTGTAGCAGGGAATTGGATAAGGTGCCTGAAAATGCGGGTCCACTTATACTGAGGAAAGGGCATGGAGGGGCGTACCTTCCTTTGATGTAGCTGTCTGAACGAAACGAGCATATCTATCGATTGTCTGGTAAAAGAAAAAAATGAAAATAGAAAAACATCGTTGTGTGAATATATTATAGCTCCTCGTGGCATTTTAAATTATGGGTTTTTTGTTCTCTGTTGAGTTTAGGTGTTTTGGTAGCGTAGAGCCGTGATAAAGCACACTTAGGCAGTTGCTGGTGAGTCGATTCTTTTTTGGAAAATTGCGGTTTTGGGCGTCGGTTTATTCTTTAGCTTCAAACTCTTCCGAAGCAAGGCCAGTATAGTGTGTATGAGTGGATTAATTTTTTGTGGAGATATACATTGTGAAACATGTACAAGTTGTATATATCATTCACTTGTAATAAAATGTGGGAGCCGATTTTGGAGTTTCTAATGCTGTATGTATTTAGTATTGTGCATTTCGGGTGATTCAGTTTCGACATTTTCTTTAAAACTTATTTTCCCTAGGATTCTGTTTAATCTTCTCTATAGTGAATTCCAAGTGCCTATTCTACTTGCATATAGATGAAATTACCCCTAATTTGTTTTTGAATTTATGTGTATGTATAACGTGTGTGTGTGTGTGGGTGGGTGTGTTCTTTTATTCGATGCAATGCACGTAAATTGACCCTAATTTTATCACTTACATGTAAGCCGAATAGGCACTCGGTGAAGTGTAACATCGAATAAACCGAAATACAATATAGAATTAGGTAAGTCCAGATGCATAAAACAACTCTCCCACATATGGTGTGTATCTGTTTTAAGATTAAGGCGGTAAACGAACGTTACAATTTTATTTTCTTTTATTTTTCCTTTTTTTCGAAGACCTAAAAGAATCAACTTCTAAGAATAACATCTCAGCTATATGATCCTCTATAGGTTAGCATTTGGACCCAAAAAATGACTCTACTCTGACTTTGAAATCTCCTGATTGTTTGGACGTCTCTCCGAAAGGAATCGCTTAGTGCTTTCAAGAACACCGAAGAATATTGAACCACCTATGCCTATCCACAGCACTCTCGGCCCTATTCCCTGCAATAAATTTCGAAAAATCAATTAAACATGTCTTTCACTTGCTACATTTGTTTCTCGTCTTTTTAATGGAGGGAGATAATATAATTATATTGTACATGTAATGCGTGTCCATAAGGTTGAATTAGTGTTCAGGTAGAGTATTTCTCGAAGGATGCTCGATTAAAGGTAATAGGAGAATGAGACCTAACCTTGAGTAAAGCATTGGAGCCTTCTTCTCTGACTATAGTCTGGACACAGTCGAAGATTCCTTTATATTGGTTTGCGGATCCCTGAAATGAAACATGGTATTTAAATAAAAATCATCTTACATGTGCAATGTATTCTCTTTAATAAACATCGAGCGCACATTCCCACACACACACATGCATGAAGAAAAAGTGTCTGCTTTGATTTCCATACCTGAACCATCAGCCTAGTCTTAATCACATCCAGAGGAGTAGTTACGGCTCCAGTCAGAGCACCTAAAAGACGAAGAAAATCAAGATTCTAGTCAGATGTGTAATTATTCAGAGACCCTTTAATGCAAGTTATTTCTAGTAACTTTAGTGAAAAGACGAAGAAAATGAATAAAGGAGAGAGAGAAAACAGATAAGGATGACCGTATTGCAAAAGCCGAAGTTAGTAATCCGAGAAACATGGTTTCAGACCATGATATACGTTGATGTAATCTAATAATAACTCACTGAAAGTAAAATGTTTACTAGAGAATTTTATGATTTTCTTCTGTTTTGCAAGTAGGGTCCAAATGTAGTTATAGCTTATCTCAGTGCATCTGTAACATTATACTCTATTGCACCGTTACTTTAGTTAGCTCATCTGCAAGTTAAAAAGCTATTACCGACGACTTCATGTTAGAAAAGATAAGCCTGGAAAATCATAAAAAGCTCTAAGAAGTCGTATTACCAGCAAAAGCACCGACTATAGCAGTTTCAGGAGCATTCAAATCTCTCTTTGCCTGATAAAAAACGCAAATCAAAACATACAAAAGAAGCATCATCAGAGTTGCGTAGTCTACAGAAGAAGCCTTTACTTTATACCTGTGAAAATGTTAAGGTCAAAAGAAACAACAAAAGTATCAAACAAACTTTAGAAGGGTGGAACGCTTACCGCCATTTTATAACCTAACCGAAGCTGCTCATAAATGCAAAACTGGAGAGCATCGAACGGCAAGTCTCTCAGCAAAAATGATCCATATCCCTATGATAAAATCAAATTAGCATGTTAGTTAATATCATGCTAAGGTGATACGCGGAACAGTCACTGAAAATAATAAGGATATCAGCCATTTCTCCTCATAAATGATAATGTAACATAAGTTCCGTTCAGAAAAATACAAAATCCAACAGTGACTTCAGTCCAGGTAGACAGGTGGAAGAAAAAGGAATTTTCTTCAGACCATTGTCTGAGAAACAGCAGGACAATTTTCTTCCCAATAAAGAAAAAAACGGAAAGATATCTTACCGCATAAAGACCTTTGAAGCCTTCTTTGGAAACTATAAGGCGAACAGCATCAGGGGCAGACGTAAATTGCCCAGTCTGCATCCGTTGCTTAACAACCTGAAACATCAAGTCAAGGCATGACAAGAGCAATGACAATAAAAATATAAGGTGGGAATAAATGAAGTAAAACAAGAGAGAAGAAGATCAAGGGATTCAGACATCCACCTCTGTCGGGACACGAATGCAAGAAGCTGCAAGGCCTCCAAGGGCACCTGCAGTCTACATAAAGATCAGAGACTCAAATGAAGAAACATGAAAATTATTCATTGGAATTTTGTAAGAAAATTCGATGGTGGGCATATGAAGTTCTAGTACCCCGTGAATTTAAGATGTCTACAAGTAATATGCAGATAATCAATCTATTAATAAAATTAAGCACATTGTACAAATCTTACCAGATGAGCCACTGCGCTAAGATTCTCGGGAAGGGCCCGTAAGAGTTTTTGCTTGGCAGGTTCATAAACACCAACAAAAACAGCAGATGCACTGTAATAAAAGTAACAAATCAAATCTACATCTCACACAAATGAGATAAGAGAATATGTTTAGGGCTTGAAAATGACAAAATGTTAATTATCCGTACTACCATATAATCGTTAGGGTTTATTACAAAAAACAAAATCAACAGGTGGCACTTAATCAAGAAAAAACGACAAAGTCAATAGCTGAAATGGATTTTACAGTTTCATTATCAGCGTGATGGAAAGTTTATTCTTTGTTCTACTTCTAGCGTTGATGAATCCTCCCTAGATGCATAACAAATTCATTCAATTTTCATGAAATTCCTTTTGAATATATGAATTGTGCAGGTAAATAAAAAAATGCATCCATGTCCTAATAGCCTTCTTACTGCCTAAAAGGTCTCACCATATCCATATAAGTAACTTGAATGTGAAGAAGTAGACAGCACGATAATCATATTTTCACAATTGGATCTTATGTCATGTTTAACAAATGAATTTAAACTCTTACGGTAAGACCCCAACAAGATTTCCAGCAAGTCCAGAATATAACCCTTTGAGAAGAATTTTACCTCCACCCCGTGCAGCCTGGAAAAGAATTGAAGTACTTGTCAAGGATATTAGCACTAGAAGTACATTTTAGATATAATTACGAACATCCTTTTCGTCCCCTTCTAATTGTGAACCACTTCGAGCAGAAGGGAAACCCAGTCTTTTGTATACATTTCTCAACAAAAGAACCCTTGACAAATTATTCAAATTGATAGAAGCAAATCGAAATTTTCACTCTCCATATAAGCATTTACATTATTTTTCATACTAAGTATTACTGCATGTGCTTAGTTTCCTTCCTTCCATTTCCTTCCTCTCAAATTTAGAATAAGTCTGGAATCAATACAACCCATGCAAGTAGGGTTGTTCATGGGTCGGTTTTACCCGACAACCGATCCATTATCTGCCCGACTATTCAGGCCGATAATTGCCCACCAACCGACTCGTTTTGGTCGGGCCGATAATTTTAACCGACCCATACATGGTTGGGTCGGGTATAGTTTCTAATTTGTTGAAAAGTCGGTTGGCCGATATTACCCGACCAACCGACTTTTTTTTTTTTTTTAATTATTTTTATATTATTCTTTTCGTTTTTACTGACTATTAATTTCAATATTTAATTTTTGACCTTTCGGTGAAATGAATAAAAATACACAACGAAAAAAACTCTATTCTTTATTTTTCCCTTCTCTTCGACTATTCTTTCTATCTCTCTATCAACCATATATAGTTGCCGATGTATCTCTCATCTCTCTCTATGAGCCCATCGTCGCCGACGCGCCATTGTTTCCTCCAAAGATTTACCTCTAGCCCTCTCTAGTTTTTTCTAAACTCTAAGGTATGAATTTTTGTGTTTCTCAAATTAAAATTAAAAATTTCAGAATTTTGTACTGTGAAAGTGTGAATGGCTGAAAGTGATTCATTTTCGTATTTTATATTATTTTTGGAATTTTAATTTGTAATATGTGATATTGTTGAAATTTGATTTTGGGCATGAAATATTGGAATGTTTGTTGCTGCATTTTGATAGAGGAATAGAATAAATTTTTTTTTTATTTTTTTTAATTAATGTGGCCGATATTGGCCGATAATTTTCAACCGGCCCGCTAAGGCAACCGACAAAGTCGGTTGCCAACCATTACCCGACTCACAATAGTCGGACCGGTAATGGTTTTACATATTTGTAAGAGTCGGTTGGTCGGGTCGGGCCGATAATCAACCGACCCGACCCATGAACAACCCTACATGCAAGCGGTAGGTACTAACTTAAAATAATCAAGTAAAAGCTACGATAGCATTTAGACTATGGGATGATTAAAACCTCTTTTATTAATCATTGCATAGCGCAAATAATAAACGTACCTGCAATCTTGTCTTTATCGTATCAATAGGGTATAAAGCTGTTTCAACCACAACACCCGCTGTACCACCTGCTATGACACCCTCTGCAGAATATACAAAAGCGAATCATTGTGAAGAAGTTTGGCTAAGATGGATATGTAAGCATGATTACTCAATGAAGTCTATCGTCTCCATGAATGTAAGGCGAATATTACAAGCATAAACTATAGTCAAGATTTAAAAGTTGCTTCGAAAAGAAGATGCTATTCATTGCTACAATTGGTTAGTTCCAAAAAAATGGAAATAAGCAATACAATAAATATGGAACAAGATCTCAAGCGTACCGAATAATGTACGCAAAAAATCGAATGGCGTCTCGTCTCGCACATTGACTGAGGCAAAGAACTTTTTTGGTTCCAACTGAAGGCCTTGCATTTTCCTAGTAGACGCATCTGCAAAACCACATTACCTGCTCAAATCAAAGCCCGGAAAAAAAGGACAGATAAAAAAAATTAAATCAACAAAAACACGGAAAATCGTGTTTTCCGTTGGGCATTGTTCAACTTGTTTTCAGTAACAAGTCAACCTGAATTCATTGCAAATACAAGTAAAATAAATTCAATTTTAGAAGTTATCTCTTCTTCATAGAATTCAGGCACAAAATACAGTATCAATTTCCTTTTCTATTACACAAAGAGCTCCAAATTGGTTATCTCAATTTTTCTAGTTAACGCATTAATTGTATCGATTATATGAATCATCAGTTAATTCAACATTAGAAATATGAATTTCCGGCTACCTCCGTTCAAATTCGCACTACATTTTGCCCCAAATTCCGACCGAAACACAAACAGCAGATTACCCAGTGAAACAAAACAAAGCTGCGATTAAGATAAAAAAAAGATAGAGCATTGGGAGTTACCCGAAGAGAATCCAGAAGAGCTCTTGCCATCGACAACTAATGTAAGCGGTCCCATTAGCACCTATATTTTGATGTTCATTTCAGCAAACATCTCCAAAAGCAATTCTATATATATCTAGAGAGAGAGAGAGAGAGAGTACCGGTGAGGAGTGGGAAGGAAGGACGGAGAGTGTGAAAATGATAATAGTATGGTTCAAATATAGATTTTAGTAGGGCTGGGCATTTGGGATCGGGATTCGGGATCCCGTCCCGTCCCGATCGGAATTTTACTATTTGGGACTAAAAATTTGGGAATTCGGGATTACGGGATTCGGGATTGGGATTAGGAACAAATACGGGATCGGTATTAGGGAATTGGTTCAATCCCGATCGGGATATTTTAATCCCGAATTAGGAGAAAAAGAAAAAAAAAACTAATAAAAAAATGCACACACACACACATATATATATATATATATATATATATATATATATATATATATATATATATATATATATATATAGTCGAGGAGATGAGAAATACAATATAAAATATATTGTTTCAACTTATTTTTATATTTTTAAAATTTTATTTGTTCCAAGTTTTGTGGTAAAAATAAATATGGCAAGAACAATAGTATGTATATAATATATTCAAGTTGGTTTAGTGTATAAAATAATACTAATGGAAAAAAGATGCAATATTTCTTTGTTGTTAGGCAAAATATGGGATTTCCCGATCCCAATCCCGATTCCCGAAATATTTAGGGATACCGATATAACCGGGATTTGATAGTATGAAACGGGATTGGGATTTAAAATTTCTATACCGAATCCCGAAATCCCGATCCCGAAAATCCCGAATTCCCGAAATCCCGTCCCGAACTCACCCCTAGATTTTAGGGGTAAGTACCCCTCCCCCTATTCATTTAATACCTATTAGTTGAATATCACTTTTTTTTTTATTATTTTTTATTTTCTAAGAGTAAATTACATCAATATCCCTGAAATATGTTAAAATAATTTTAAGGTCCTTGTTGTATCGGTAATTACAATGACCTCCCTGAAACATTGTTAGAAATCCTAATCGAAAATAAATATAGTGCATATGTGTCCCCATGACATGAAATCTTGGCTCCGGTAGTTACTTCAGGGGTGTAGCTGTAATGTTACTTCAGGGGTGTAGTTGTAATTACAAATAGGCAATATCTCATGTACCTTAAAGTTATTTTAGCATACCTCATGGGTACAGGTGTAATTTACCCTTTTTCTAATTACGAAGAAGTACAAAAATATCTTTTACTCACAAAATATGCAACTTATACAAACAAAAAACTCATTTTAATTAGTTGAAAACCAAATTTAACCCCCCTCTTTACCCAAACCAATTGTGCAAAACCCTAGCCACCAGCACCGCCGCGCTGTACCCGCTTCGTTGCCACCAACATCGGATGCCATTATTGACGAGTTCAAATAATTTTTTTTTGCATTTAGATTCTGGTCTAAATATTGTATGAGTACTTAAGATTTGGTCGTTTTGAGCATTAAATGGTTTTTATTTGCTGATGGATGCTTCTAATTTTGTCGTTTTTAACATTGATTAACGTTTTCGTGAATTGTTCTTTGTTGATCATTTTTCTGACATGTACATGTCGAAAATTTGAGATTTGTTTTTTCTTTTCAATTTTCGACTATAATATGTTGATTTTGTGCAATTTTCAACACCCACATGTCGGAAAAAAACATAAAAAATCGAAATGTAAGTATCGAAACATGGTGACGAGTTTCGAGAAAAAAACTTCAAAAATGATGATATTAATCATTACCTATTTATTATTATTTTTTCTGAAATGATTTGTGCAGGCACATATTAAACAGTCAGGCACATTTTTTACCATTCTTCAAAAAACAAAAAGTGAAAAAACTCAAAAACTCTCTCAACCTTTCGATTTTCTTTCGCAAAGCCCGTGCAAATCGTCAACAGATCGAAGGTAATTTTTATGTTTTTACGATCCTCTTGTTATGTAGATTACGAATCCGAAAAAAAAACGAAAAAAATCGGACTTTGGCCTGCTCGTGTGAATTTACACGAGCGCATCCACTGCGCTCGTGTAAATCCACACGAGCAGGCCTTGTTAATTTTTTTTTAATTGCTCGTGTGATTTCACACGAACAGAGACGTTCTGCTCGTGTGATTTCACACGAGCATACCTTCTCTGTTCGTGTGAAATCACACGAGTGGGTTAAAAAAAAAAAAACAATTTTTTTAGAATTAAAAAAAAAAAAAAAATTGTTAATGTGCTCGCGTGAATTTACGCGAGCACTTGCCAAGTGCTCGCGTAAATTCACACGAGCACATGAATAAAAAAAAATTCATCTCCTCGTGTGAATTTACACGAGCACTTACCAAGTGCTCGCGTAAATTCACACGAGCAGATAAGGTTGTGGGAAAAAACGAAAAACTTACATTTGGGTCTAAGTTGTTTGGATCCATAGCAAAAATTGTTGAATATCTGAATTTTTTCACTTTGAATGTTGAGTTTTATATTTTATAGGATTGGGTAGGAATAGTACAAAAGGTAAATAGTTATGGTAAAAAGGTAAAAAATCATGGTAAAAAAGTGTCTGAATGTTTAATTTGGCCTGCGTATATTATTACCCTTATTTTTTCTATTTTGATGATATTAAGTAAGAAAAAAATTGATATTTGATTTAGCCAACCCCTCATAATAACACAACACAACAACAATAATAATAATAATTGAAATGTTAAATATCATTTCAATTTTACTAATGTCGTTTTGACTTCGAACATAATTTTGACATATTTCTATTTTGATTTTGGCATAATTCGAAACACGAAAACTGCTTTGGGTTAGCTTTCTGATCCAACTTAAATCCGCTAGATTGGACGTCGTGTGACAAAGTTATGCATGAAAGAGTCACATTTTGAATTTTAGATACCTCAATACATCAAAGTTGTGAGCAGTATCCATTGATTGATGTATATCTTTCTCGTCCGACATCCAATTTTGGTGATTCAAGTTGGATTAGAAAATTAACTCCGAATAATACAAATTCTCTTTTTCGGGTTTTGCAAAATTTGGAATTAAAAATGATCAAAATCACATTTGAAGTCGTAACGGTATTATTAAAGCTCGAACGACATTTATCACGTCCCTAATAATAATAATATAACCTATTTTCTCTTAATTTTGTTCAATTCCCATGATTAATGGACTCCCACAAATTTCTCTAATTCTCACCTCTCTACCCTCAAACCCAAATCACATCTTCCATCATTCATTCCCATTTCTTGAATTACCAAAACATTTTCTTGAAAATATATTTAATTAACCCAAAAAAAAAAATCCGGCCGGAGGGTTCCGTTACTAGCAAAAATCCCTTGCGATATATGAAGATGGCATGGGCTGCTGCCGCCTTGGTGGTGGCGGCGGCGGTGCAGTTGATGGCGGCGGCGGATGGGATGGGTGTGAATTGGGGAACACAAGCTTCTCAAAATCTCCACCCATCCATCATTGTCCAAATGCTCAAAGACAACAACATTAATAAGATCAAATTGTTCGATTCCGATTCGTGGGTTGTCAAATACTTCGCGGGAACCGGAATCGACGTGATGCTTGGTATACCCAATAATCAGTTGGCTTCGTTGGCTAAAGACTACGATAATGCCAAGGATTGGGTCAAACAAAATCTTACCAAACATTTGTATGATGGTGGTGTCAATATTAGGTAAATTTATTACCTTTTTTCGTTTCGTAAATATTTTGCGTGTGTCGCGTTTCGATCGAAGAATTCGCATTTTTTTTTAAACGAAGAAAATCGTAATGATTCCCGAAGCATCACTTTTGTTATAGCATGCATGTAAAAATATAAATTACACGTTTTTGTAATGGTTCAAAATCATTATAAAGGGCAAATTGCACTTTACCCCCTATAAATTTTCAGTTCTCGCACTTTCCCCATCAAAATTCAAAAACGTGAATGTATTCCCAATCAAAATATTAATTTTGTTGCATGTTGCTCGGTAGCCAAATTCCGATCGATTTCAATTGCCCCCTTTAAAATGTTATTGTTGTTGCACGCTGTCCCTCTAAATATTATTTTCTAGCATTTTGGGCTAAAGTGTGGAACCATAACAATGTTTCAAAAGGCGTCGTCTCGTTTTTTGAACTTTTAGGCGGGAAAATGCGAGTTTGAAACATTTCTAGCGGGGCGGAGTGCATTTTGTCTCCGTATATAAATATTGAATAAATTCACTATTCACACAACATGATATTTTTACCGGCAGGTACGTAGCTGTGGGAAACGAGCCGTTCTTGAAATCCTACAACGGTTCGAACCTTGCGACCACTTTCCCGGCGTTGAAAAACATCCAAAGGGCAATAAACGAGCACGGCCTCGGCGACAAAGTCAAAGCAACCATCCCACAAAACGCCGACGTATACGACTCCGGCACCGACGGCCCGTCCGCCGGAAACTTCCGCTCCGACATACGTGATCTCATGACACAGATAGTCTCATTCTTCCAAGAAAACGGGTCCCCCTTCTTGGTCAACATCTACCCTTTCCTCAGTCTTTATGGGAACCCGGATTTCCCCGTCGAGTTCGCCTTCTTCGACGGTGGTGCCGCCCCGGTGGTCGACGGCGGAATCAGCTACACGAACATGTTGGACGCGAATTTGGACACGCTCGTTTGGTCGCTGAAGAAGGCCGGGGCGACGGGGGTTAAAGTCATTATCGGAGAAATCGGGTGGCCGACGGACGGTGACGGGAGCGCCACCGTAGATCTGGCGAAGAGATTCTACGATGGGTTGTTCAAGAAGATGGCGACGAAGAAAGGGACGCCGCTTTATCAGGAAGATATTGAGTATTACCTTTTTAGCCTTACTGATGAGAACCAGAAAAGCGTCGCCCCGGGGGATTTCGAGCGGCATTGGGGGGTGTTTCAGTACGACGGCAAACCCAAGTTTCCGATGGATTTCAAAGGTATTATTGCATGATTATGTCTAATTTAACTTCATTTAGAGCTTTTAAAGATTTTTTCTTTTTTTTTTTTAAATGAGAAATATCCAAGTTCGATTTAATTTCCGTTCAAACAGGAACCGGGAACGACAAGATGCCGATAGCCGCAAAGAACGTGCCGTACATGGAATCAAAATGGTGTGTTTACAACACCGACGTCAAGAACTTGGACAAGCTCCCCGGCAACATGGACTACGCATGCTCGAGGGCCGACTGCACGTCCCTCAACCACGTGGGCCCATGCAGCAAATTGGATCAGGCTTCCAGGATTTCGTACGCCTTCAACATTTTTTTCCAGATGAACGCTCAAGATGTGGAATCGTGCGAATTCGACGGAATGGCCCGGATCGTGGAAGCGAACGCGTCCACGGGCAATTGCCTCTTCCCACTGGCACTGGAGGACAGTGCTGGATGGAAGCTCGGGGCGCGAGTTTGGCCCGCCACCGTACTTTTCGGGTTGGCCTTATTGTCAGTGTTCTAGGTTTACATTAATAGTTTATAGATACTACACTGGGTGAAATGCACTGTACTGTATTACACTACGCTCCCTTCAAAGATAAGATGAATCGCTAATTAGCCTGTCTATATAATTGTAGAGGTGTGCCCCAACATGTCAGTTAGATTTACTCACAAACGCACACATACATGTGTATGTGTGTAAAATCGGTATTTAACAGTACGCGTGTATGGTGGAATCTTATCCGGTGAAGTTCATTGGATGTAGTATCAAATAAACCGTACAGTAATGTATGCTACACACGATATTTAGTACATTGAACGCGCGAAATGACGTGAACGATTGTCAATATCCTATCTTATACAAAAAAAAAACGTGGCGCGTCGAAGATGGATATTGCACTAACTGTAATAGGGGCGAGCGAGAAAAAAAAAACGAAAAATCGGACCAAAAAAAGACTTGTTCCAAAATCGAAAATTTTCGAATCGGCGGTTTTCGAAAATTCCAAACATTTAGTCATCTATAATATTAAATACATAATAATATTGATATTACAAGTGCAATTTTCGGTAAAAAAATCGCAATTTTCAGAGATATTATCAAAATTTAAAAATGGGAATCTAATATGTAGTCCAATTCCATTCCAAAAAAAAGGGGGAAAAGAAAATCAGAAATCGGAACTTTTAGCATTCGGAATGAAAAATGTTGTTCCGACATCTGATTGCTTCGCGGAATCTGGAAATTTCATCTCGTATTGTAAAATTATCAATACACACAACAATACGTATAAAAAAACGACATCATCAATATATACGAAGGCGTATCAACATATACAAAATCGCACCTGTCTTCCACAATACCACGTCATCATATTTTTTTTCAGACATTCTCTTCAACTTTAATCTTATAATGCAAACTCGAACCCTCAGGCAGACCCAAAGGTGGATTCAGGCAAGAACAATTGTCAACATCAAACAATTCCCACTCCTTAATCCCACATTTATCCAACGCAGCTATCAATCTATCCCTCTGGCTCTCGTCCGGATAAAGCCCGTTCAGGCTCACAAGAACGGCCCCCGTGTAAGACTGGCCCGCCACCCTGGCAGCCCCGTGGTAATGAAACAAACCCCAACTCAAATCATCGCAAACATCAACAATCGTCCAAAACTCGTTCGAAACAACCCCGTTATCCAACACACTAAAATGGAATGTTCCGGAAGCTTTTCCTCGTTTCACACGGTATTTCCTTCTCCTCCACACCAAATCTCCCTCGATTGTTTTTACTTGAAAAACGGGCTCGTACCAAAACGAGCCCTTTGCTTTGCCTCTGTAGAAGAGCTGGTACTGGCACGGGAACTGATCGTAAGCCGGGTTTTGACCTGCTACTACTCGCCAGCTCCAATCGGAATTATTAATCCCCAGCCATCCGATGAAGAGATCTTCGGCGGTTTCTTGATCCAACGGCTCTCCTCGAAAGCTGGCCAACGGGGTGACACGTGGCAGATTGGGAATCTTTGCGTCGAGATCAAGGCAGTTGTGCTTCTGGAGGACGCATAGGGAGAATTCTTCGAGCTGCGGGCTCTCATAAGAGGCGATGCATTGATAGTTGCATACCTATGTAGAAAAAAAATTTAAAAAATATTTTTTCATATTACAAATATAAAGTTTAGAATTTTTTTTCTTTTGAGAAAACACTCGTTGGTTCATTGGTATATTGGCTAATATATCTTTATGACAAAATCGATCTATCCTAAATATATATGTATATAAATTTTATTATTTTATATATAAACAGATATATGTATAATATACCTGATCGATGGGGCTACACTTGTTCAGACATTGAAGAGCTTTCCTACAATTCGGATCCAATAGACAGTTTATTATTTGGGGCCCACAATTTTTCGCCATGCATTCCAATGTGGAGAAGCCCTTTGCTCTGAGGTTTTGAAGAACCGGAACAGGTTTTATGTAAGCGTTTACTATTACCAACAAACAGAACTTTATGTCGTCAGAGTTTTGTCTGTCCCACGCCTCTAATACAGATCCGACTACTTGCTTCGATTCCTTTAGCTTCTCGAACTGAGGCAGTGGCAGTTTCGTGAATAAGCTCTCGATGGAGGGTTTTGTTTGGACAAGGGAACCGCCTAGTTTGTTTGTTAAGGTTGGAGATGAGTCGAAGCATATGATGTTTGGTGTGGTTTGGGAATTGGTTTGAATCCACTGCGCCGATTCTTGATTTGTGACAGCAATGATTATCAGAACGTCTGATCGGCTTAGTGATGTCTTGAGCTGACGTGTCGCCTCGTCATTGGCTCGACAGGAATTATCGGTGTATACCACCATTTCGTACTCTTCATCCACATATTTCAATTTTTTCGCCTAATTATTATACAGAACAATGAAATGGTCATGGATTGCAAGAAAATGAAAACCAATTTGAAGATAACGGTTATAAAATAAAATAAAGATCGAATATACGTTTTGTAGTTTTATACTTCTAACATAGAAGAAACAGCAGTTGATTCTATATAGCAACAGAATAGCATAAATTTTGATGTGCTGGTAAAAATAGAACAACATCATTTACTTAAATGAACAAATGGATATTTATTAACTGTAAGAGTAAATTACGGCCCACCCCGAGGTAAAGTCAAATTACGAAAAAACCCCACATATTTAGGTTATTACAACCACCTTCTCAACTATGAATCTTCTCACATGTCTACCCTTATGAACCCTTATGATGTGAAATACAACAGAATTTTCTAGATTTCGTGGTTTAAACTCTAATTTGTACTCGTTTTTTGCAAAAATGCAGTTCCAGATGCACCACAATCTGATATTTATAAGTCAAGAAACACATCTTATCATCTTATGATCATCTTGTTTCAAAATGTGGAGTTCGAATGAGGTAAAACGAGTACAAACTGAAGAATATTCAATATATATAATCTAAAAAATTCCCCTAAATTTAACACTGCAAAAGTGGACGTGTAAGAAGATTCATAGTTGAGGAGATGGTTGTAATTACCAAACATGAGGGTTTTTTCGTAATTTGACCCAACCTCATGGTGTGATCGTAATTTGCCCTAATTGTTATTTAGCACTACTCCTTACTTTACTTAGAACACTTGAAGTAGATAAGTGTTGATTCATTCTTTCTTAAGTAGCCAAAATATATTAATAAACAGAGGATCCATTAATGTTACAAGTGATCGAATTTGGACTGGGTCGAAATTTCGGATCAGATCCAAGACATTGATTCGGTTATTTCTATGCTACACAAATTGAAGGTTACACCGGGTGAATTTTAACCGTTAATCTACACACACCAATGTGGATGTGTGTGTGTTTGTGTGCTTATGAATGGTAAAGATCTAACCGGTGTACCCAAGTATAAACTCGTTGATTCAATTGCAAATCAATTTTAAGTAAAAGAGAAAAAAGTAATTTGTTTTTATTTTTTTTAGTTCATTTTATCTACTCACAGTGTGGAGCATGACGTCATACCAAGGTGTGGATTTGAGAGGGCTGACGCTACCTTCCCCAACCAGAGCTACTATTCTCACCGGAATTGCGTTCTGCGCCGCCGCCGGCGCACCATTTTCCGCCTCCTTGATCTGACTGGCCATGGCTCTGATGCAAGAGCGGCGGCGAAGTAGCGGAGAGCCAATCGACCGGGACAATATCCGGTTGTCGGTGAACAGTAACTGGATGTGGCCATCGCCGATCCGGCGGCGGTTCGAGTGAAGACGGCCGGTTTTACGGTGGTTGAAGAAACACGGTGGCGCTGTGCAATTGCTGAGACTATTCATGGCCGTATTGTTCTTCAGATTTTTTTTTTCTTTTTCTTTTTTTTCTTAAAATGAGAAAAATTAGTTGAAAATTCGTAAATTCCAGAGACATTATTTAAGTTTAAAAAGATAAGGGTAGTTGGCCGTCTTTTTTTTGTTTATTTTAAAATACTGATGTTACTAAATTTCATTACCGCCACCCCTGATTTAAGGTCAAATTACGAAAAACTACTCCATGTTTGAATAATTACAACTATCTCCCTCAGCTATGAATTTTCTTATACATCCATTCTTACGGTGCCAAATTTAGTGGAATAGTTTAGGTTATGCGAAATATTCTCCAATTTGTATCCGCTTTACCCCATTCGAGCTCCACATTTTGAAACAAGATGATCATAACATGTATATCTCATGACTTGTATATATCAGATTGTGTTGTATTAAAAACTGTATTAACGAGTACAAACTAATGGACATTCCACGGAATCAAGAAGATTCAGTTGAATTTGACACCCAATGGTGGACGGACATGTAAGAAGACTCATAGTTGAAGGAGTGGTTGTAATTACCAAAATATGAGGGGTTTTTTTGTAATTTGACCGTACCTGAGAGGGTGGCCTTAATTTACCTCGACAAAAATTGTGCTCCCAATGAAATCTATACAACTTGCTGGAAAATAACAATTCCATCACAATTAAAATGACATTTTATATAATACAGTACATCCTTGATAAATTAATAACATCGCTTAAATAATAGTTTATTTAAGTCCCAACTTAGTAAAAACCTACTATAGTATTAGTTCGATAATTTAATATTTCGTTAAATTAATAGAATTTTGTTTGTCCTGACTATATCAATTTATAGTCTATCAATTTATAGTCGTTTAGTAAGAATTGTGTCGCAGAAGTGATCTTCCAAAAAAAAAAAGAGTTGGGAGTTAGAAGTTACATCTTTCTCTAGGAATTAGTTCTTAAGCCCCTTTCGAAGCTGTTCCTTCGACTCGGTTTTTGCTGCCAACACAACATCATTTAGGAACCCTCTCTCCGGAAATTCTTCCGGCACAAGACTCCGGTAAATCTCAAAATTCTCTTCAGCTTCCTTCGTTTTCTCCAGTAGACTGTATACAATTCCCTGCAATTCAAAAAAAAAAAAAAAAGATTATAGTTTCCCTTTCATCCTCCCTATCATAATTAACGAATGGTCAAGATTCGTTACTCGCAAATGGAGCTCATAAATGGTTCGTTGAATTTCAGATTGGATGGTCCGAAATTCAAAATTTGCAATAATACGACCACAGCTTATATTTTACAGTTAAACCTCTATAAATTAATACATTCGGGACTAGCAAAATTCTATTAATTTAGTGAAATATTAAATTATTGAACTAATAATTTCATTGGTTTTTACCGAGTCGGGACCAAGAGAAACTATTATTTAAGCGAGGTTATTAATTTATCGAGGTTCTACTGTACCTCCGAAAGAGACATAATTTGCATACAAATACACCTAGCCAAAATAAAAACACAAATAAAAATACAGGTGAACCTCGATAAATTAATACTCGATAAATTAATAATCTCGCTTAAATAGTAATTTCTCTCAGTCCCGACTCGTATAAAATGTATTAAATTATTAGTTCGATAATTTAATATTTCACTAAATTAATAGATTTTACTAGTCCCAACAGTATTAATTTATACAGGTTTAAACTGTAACGAGCAATGTACAGAAAGAGCTATTCATCTAACCTGGCATAAATAAGGGCGAAAGTCTCTCGGGTTTTCATCAATAAGAGCTTGAAAATTCTCCAAGGCCTCCTTCAAGTTTCCCTGCAAGACCCGAAAAAAAAAATTAAAAATTGGTTCTTTACGTTTTATTCGAATTTCTAAAGATGGTTTATTTTATTTTTTTGCAAATCTTGATTTGAAATAACGAGGATGCAATAACTGTTACCTCGACTATGTGCATTTGGGCAACTAAAATTCTTATATTCCGCTCTTCATTAACTCTTTTTTCGCGCTGAGCAATCTGTAAAGCCTTTTCTAGCATCTCGAAAACAGCTGGCCCTTCGTGGTTTTTATGCATCACCATAGCCAAACCCTATCAAAGAAAAGTTCGATACTATCGGGAATCGAGTAGTACTAAAGGTAATAGCAGAAAATATAGTCATGGATAATAGCAGAAATTGTAGCACATAAGCAAAGGCACAATTCTTGAAAAGACGAAAAATCAAGCAAGTTCATTAAAATAGTTTTGAAGTGTTCGCTTTTTCTTATTCAATAGCTAAAATTAGAACATACGATTGGGATCCAAAACACCAAAAACATGAAAAAAAAATAATAAATAAAGGAAGTCAATTCATACAATAATAATCATCTTTAGTTAGAATGAACTACAGTTAAACCTCTATAAATTAATAGAGTCGGGACTAGCGAAATATTTAGTTATTGAACTATAATTTAGTAGGTTTTTACCAAGTCGGGACCAGAAGAAACTATTATTTAAGCAAGTTGTTATTAATTTATCGATGTTCTCCTGTATGCCGAGGCTCACGAGCTAGAGATATCCTCATGGAAAACTATAACTATTTCCTTTCCTCAAAGTGCTATGCAACTCACCTTCTATCGCACGTAAGATTCTTAACGCAAACGATTCATTGAAACCATTGAATCAACATTGCATCAAAGTCTTTAAACATCTAAAACTCAAAAACCAATAATATTGCACTAACCATGCTATAGACCAATACATACACGAGTTAGACGAGTAGTATAAGCACTCACAAAGCACATAAAACACCGAACAAAAACACATCCGAAAACCCAATTTACCAAAACACAATCAAGAACAACTAAACGCACATCATCAAATGAAGCTAAAACGAAATTCATACATGCACACAAAACACCGAAAGAAAACACATCCGAAAACCCAATTTACCAAAAACCCAAATCAAGAACAACTAAACGCACAACATCAAACGAAGCTAAAACGAAAAAATCCATACATGCAAAGCTCTAAGCAAGAGAGGTTTCTGCTTGAGTACATTCTTGAACAAGCTCTTGGCCTTGCTCAAATTCCCTTTCATCTCGTAACAAAGCGCCTGCAAAAGCCTCCACTCCATTTCATTAGGCTGCAATTCGATCAACCTCTCGACATAATCGACAGCCTCACCGGTTTTCCCCTTCCTCATCTTCACATTCACAACCATTTTCAAAGTTTCGATATTTCTCGGGTTTTCTTCGAGTAATTTCACACACATCACCTCCTCCTCTTCGATATCAGAAATTTTCTCCTCTAAATTCTCACTTTGTTGGACGGGGTTTGCTAAAACCGGCTTCAATTTCGAACAGCCGATAAAAATGAGGGACCCTAATAGTAAAGTTGCGATCTTTTCTACATAAAACTTGGAAATGTTCTTCTGGGGCGGCGAGAAAAAGTTTGAAATCGTCGGTTTCCATGGGAGTTCGGATGAAATGTGAAGTTTCCGGTGGGGTTGCCGGAGTTTGGGGTGGTGGTAAAGAAATGGCGACGTGTTCGAAAAGTGGGTTTTAAAGGAATTTAGGGTTTTGGGATTTGGGGATTTTTTCGGGTGGTGATACGTGTAGTGATGAGAGGTGAGAGTGAAAAGTGAGAGAGAAGAGGCAGCCATTTTTATTGAGTTAAGCTTGTGGTGGATTCGGAGAAGAAACTAGAGTATTTTCTTAGGTGGTGTTTGGCTGTTTGCATTAGTTTTAGAAACTGATTTTAATGCTAATATGTAAAAGAAAATACATATTAACCAATTAATTAGTTAGAAACTCATAAAAAAAAAAAAAAATTAGTTAGAAAAACAAAATTGGTGTGACATATTGATTAAAAAATATAGTTACATTATAGGGTAAATTCGTTCACCCCTAATGTAAGATTAAAATTAAAAAAAAACCCTTAATGTTTGGATAATTAGAACCACCTCCCTCAATTATAAATCTCCTTACACGTCCATCCTTGCGTTGTCAAATTTAGTGAAAACTTCTCGATTATATGGAATATTCTCCAAATGATGATGCTAAAGATAGATCACCTTATATAGTTGAAGTAGAATGAGCTGGAAGAGCAGAGTGGATCACTGGCTCACGAGCTTGATGACCTTGAGATACATGTGATCACGTAACACGTAAACTAAGCCGGGGGTTGATCCGGCGGAAACCCCTCCGACGCTCAAGTCAGACGTGCTGATAGTATAAATGGTCCAGATAATACAATGAGTAGTATTGCTCAGTTAATTGGACGTACCCTGAGAAATGAGTTCAAACCTTTATTTATAGCTTAGTTGAGATTGTCGGGCCCAAACCTTACTTGAAGGTGATTGGGCCTCGGTGATAGTGGTCTTCGATATTGGGCTCGTGGCCCAATAGGTAAATAATTTGTAGGCCCATTGGGTTGGGCCAATTAGGCATATCAAATTTGTACTCGTTTTACCACATTCGAAAATTTGTACTCGTTTTACCACATTCGAGCTCCACATTTTGAAACAAGATGATCGCAAGATGAGTCGCTTGACTTGTTAATATCAGACTGTGGTACAACAGAAACTACATTTTTTCACTACAAACTAGTGAACATTTTACGAAATCTAGAAAATTTTGTTGAATTTGACAACATGAGGATGAACGTGTAAGAAGATTCCTATTTGAAGGGATGTTTGTAATTACCCAACATGAGTTTTTTTGGTAATTTGATATAAATTCTTGAATTTCCCATCAAACTATTTTCTACACATTTTACCACAAAAAAATAACTAAAAAAAATCAGTTACATATTTTCAAACACCAATATTATACAGTGTATATATATTTATGGATTCTATTATTCGAATACGGTGTAGTATTATACAACATTTCATTCACATCTCCGCAGCAAATGATTTACCGCAACCGCAAGTTTGAGTAGCGTTCGGGTTCTTGAAATTAAAGCCTCCGCCAATCAGTGCATCGCTATAGTCCAGTTGCATCCCGTAAAGAAACAGAAGGCTTTTCGGATCACAAACTGCATCATTACAAAAAATAAAAAAAATAAAAAAAATTACTCCCTCGTTTCAAATTATCGGTCGTTTTTTGAAATTGTACTTTTTAACCCATCCCCCCACCCCCAACACACACATTAATTGTTTCGGATAACACACTGCAATCAATCTCTCATATTACTCGTATACCTATCGTGAAAAGACAACAATGCCCTCAAGAAACCAGCCATAAAATAGGTTATAGGATCAAAAGGAGAGAACATTAGATATAATGATGTCTAAAATGGGAACTCGTATACTATTTATTACATCATAAAGAGAAGAGACGAGAAAGGAAAAAAAAAGTCGTACCTATAACGAAGCCATTATACTCCATGACAGAATCATCAGGTCTCGAATTCTCTTTTGTCTCGAACTCCATTGTATAGGACAAACCAGAGCATCCACCTTGTTTGACACCAATTCTCAGACAAAGATCTTCACTTTTTTCGGACCGCATCTTACTCAAGTGTTTCAGCGCATCGTCTGTTAAGTCGATAGCCGGTGGGATTCCTCCAGCCGTAGATGGTGCTAGAAACATTCCATGAAAAGGTTAATTAATCAAAGACTCACAGTAGGTTTGAGAAATTTCAAGAACCATACAAATAGCCAAAATTTCGACACGAGTCTAATGTAGGGTAAATCACGGACACACTTTGAGGTAAGGTCAAATTACGAAAAAGCCCCCTCCTGTTAGGGTAATTACACAATTACCCCTCGACTACGAATCTTCTTACACGTCCACCTTTATGGTGTCAAAATTCAACGTAATCTTCTAGATTTCGTGGAATGTTCTCTAGTTTTGTACAAGGCGATCTTGTTTCAAAATATGGAGCTTGAATAGGGGTAAAAATGGTACAAATTGGAGAATATTCCACGTAATCTAGAAGATTTCACTAAATTTGACACCGCAAGGGTGGACTGGACGTATAAGAAAATTCATAACTGAGGGATGATTGTAATTACCCAAACATGAGGGATTTTTTCGTAATTTTGACCTTACTTCAGGGGGCGGCCGTAATTTACCCTTCTAATGTATGACACCCTTCGAGAAGATGGAGAGCGATACCGTAAAAAGGGTTTTCAAGGTTGAAAAAAGCATCTTAAAAAATACTAACCAGACCGAACAAAAAAAAATCTACGAAAGAAAATAAAAAGATACGGCCATTGTCGAGAATCCAACATGCATAAAAACACAACCTTTTGCCCTTTCTTCTGTTCGGGTTGTTCGAGCCAAGATAGAGTAAAGTTAACATCGAATCAGACGCCGAGAAATTCGACAGAAACCCCCGTTCGATAATTTTCAAAATTAGAAGCATATAACCCTAATATCGAGATATTTCTACAAAATTAAAAAAGCTTCACAATTCTAAGGTTCATTAACAGTAAACCTCAAACACATCTCAATTAGGTTAATATCTCACACACACACACACACTTCAGTTTCACCATACTACAACAGCTGAAGAACCAATTTCATCAAAAATAAAAGATTAATTTCTAAAACTGCACCGCAGCTTAATATTCTATCCAAAAGTTCATCAGTACCAAAAAAAATATAAACAGGAAAAAGCTGATTGATTCATACGATAATTTAATCACGTGTATAAAGGGAAAAAAAAAAAAAAAAAATCATACCTTCAACCGAGACTGACCTGATGGGCAAAAGGGTCTTTTTGAATTTGGGGAAAGAAGGCGAAAATCGAAAAGAAACTGAGGAAGGAGACGAGGAAGAAGGGATTTGAAGTGAAATAGAAGGTTTTCGTGAAGCAGAAATGGATGGGGTATAGCGCAAAGATTGAGAGAAAGCCATTGATTTTGTTCCGAGCTACGAATCGAAGCACAACAATAGAGAGAAAATCAAAATTGAGAAATGGGCGAAGAAGTTATTGAAGGTGAGTGCGAGCGTGTGGAAAGCACGTGTGGAGATGTTTTGGGCCTGTGGCTTGCATTGGTCATGGCCCATGGGTTGAAAAATGAAGAAATATGTAGAAAGAAAATCAAACTATACTCGGAAATCGATTTGTATTCATTCATCTCGATTAAAACTCATTCAGACTCGACACAGTTGCTTGTCAGACCAAGCTCAAACAACTTTAACAGTTCGATAATAATTCAAACAAATTTGAACAAAATTATGTTCAACTTGGTTTGGTTCGATTCGTTTATATGCATGTACTTTCAACCACTACTCATGACCTTTATGGTAGATGAATCATGCATTTTAAAAATATGATTTTTATTCACTAAATATAATTAGGTAAATTACGGCGACCTCTTCAGGTAAGATCAAACTACAAAAAAATCTATTATGTTTGGGTAATTACAACCACCCCTCACTATGAATCTTCTTACACGTTCACCCTTAGGTAAATTAGTGGAATTTTCAAGATTATGTGGAATATCTCCAATTTGTACCCATTTTACCCCATTCGAGCTCCATATGTAAACACAAGATGATCATAAGATGTGTCTCTTGGCTTGTAAATTTCATATTGTGGTGCATCAGAAACTGGCTTTTTTTTTCTTTCACAAAACGAGTACAAAATTAGAGACCATTCCACGAAATCTAGAAAATTTTGTTGAATTTGACACTATAAGGGAGCTGGTTGTAAGAAGATTCATAGTTGAATTTGATCATACGTGTAAGAAGATTCATAGTTGAATTTGATTATACGTGTAAGAAGATTCATAATTGAAGGGAATGGTTGTAAGAAGATTCATAGTTGAATTTGACCATATGTGTAAGAAGATTCATAATTGAAGGGAATGGTTGTAAGAAGATTCATAGTTGAATTTGACCATATGTGTAAGAAGATTCATAATTAAGGGGACTGGTTGTAAGAAGATTCATAATTGAGGAGCTGATTGTAATTACCCAAATATGATGGATTTTTTCGTAATTTGGTTTTAACTGAGGGGATGGCTAATTTACACAATATAATTACGGGGTTTACTATTCATAGTGCGGTTTTTCCCAGCTACAGTGCGAAATAATTCATTTGTCAAAAAACACTTTAACCTTTTACAAAATCCTCTCAACCTCCAAATATTTCGACTTTTGTAGATCATGATTTGTTTTCGTAGAAATCAGTTAAAACCCAACAATTATCAAGATGGCCAACATCGATCCCGTAAATGAGGTAAAAAATTACGTTTTAGTGTGATTTTTTTCGATTTACAGTCGTTTCGTGTAGAATATCACGAAATTATTCAAGTCGTTTCGTGGTGTTTTGCACGAAATTAACACCTTATTCGCGTTTTTCGATTTGTATTTTGATCCCTCGGTTTTGGATCAAAATGAATATGAAGATTTCTCTCACTTCTTCCAAGTTGATATTGTGTTCGGTAGTAGGGAAGAATTAATCAACTGGGCCAAAGCAACTGCAGTTAGTCATTGTCACTGTTTGATTTGTCAGTCTAGAAGGGAGAATGCACAGTACTTGACGTGTGACAAATACGGACATGGCCGACAAACGAATATCGATGTGGACGATCCTAGAAACACTGGAACAAAAAAATGTGGTTGTTCGTTCAAATTGATTGGCAAAAAGTCAAGGTTTGATGAATTATGGCGGTCGATGGCAGGCATACTCATCGTCCGGCTTTGTTTCCTCACGGCCAAGGTACGACTAGTCGTATAACTCCACAACAGAAAGCAAGAATTAAAGAATTGCGAAATTCTCACGTGAAGCCAATGCTAATCATGGATAGATTGAGGAAAGATGATCCGACGATACAAACCTCTATGAAGCATGTTTACAATGAGTTTGCCAAGATTAAATCTGAGGAAATGGAGGGCATGACTGTTATTCAGTTTATGATGCATAACTTTCAACAAGGCGAGTATCGATATTGGCATCGCGTCGATAGTGAAACGAGCAACACGATTACAGATATTATGTTTGCATGTCCCGAATCTATTAAGTTACTACGGCTGTTCCCGTATGTTATATTGATGGACTGCACATACAAAACGAATAAGTAAGTAAAAATTACGATTGTTTAAATTATGATTATTGTGTTTTAATGTATTGTATTGTTTAAATATGTAAAAACAACATTGTTGTAGGTATGCTATGCCTCTTTTTGGAAATAATTGGGATAACTCCAATTGGGAGGAATTTTACAATTGTTGTTGCATGTATGTCGCATGAAGATGCAGACACCTACGAGTGGACTTTAAATTGTTTGAAAGAGTTGCTAGATGGTGTCGAACCTGATGCGATCTTGACAGACATGGAGTTGGGTCTTTTGAAAACACTGCCAAATGTCTTCCCATTTTCGTATCATATGTTGTGTATATTCCATATAAACAGAAATGTTGAGGCAAATGCGACGAAATTTATGGGAGGCAACAAAGACCGAGGTCTAATATTCCGACGTGTGATGTGGGCTAAGCTGGTGAAATTAGAAACCGAAGAAGAGTATCATTACAATTAAAATGAAATTGTTGGACGGTATGCAGGGTATCCTAGACTGATACAGTATTTGAATGATACGTGATTGATATACAAGGAGAAGTTTGTTCGAGCCTATACTCGCAATGTGTATCATTTTGGCAACACGAGCACCAACAGGTATTACATGTTTTAGTTATTTAAATGATAAAATATATTATATAAAAATAATTTATTTTGTAATTTGATTGTCGTTGTATGCTTTGATTGTTGTTGTAATTGGATAGGGTGGAGAGTGCTCATTCTTCAGCGAGGTTGGTTAAATGCTTCGACCGGAGGTCTGGATAACATGCAAGGCAAGCAAGGCAAACTTCGGGACCAAGTTTATATCCAAATTAGTCAGCTGAAGTGCGATTTTTCATTATCATCCAAGATAAGGAAGCATACTGCAGTATGACCGTGTTTTCAGGGTTTGATTTGTTATGTTACGCAGAAATTGGATCAAGAGATGGAGTCCCCGGCGATGCAAGATCCGAGTATTTGCACACACTATCTTTGGAATAGTCATGGGCTCCCATGCGCGTGCAAAATTGTGCAGAAAATGGAAGATAATGACACGTTCATCATTTCAGACTTGCATCCATTCTGGAGTACCATGGCAGTTGAGCCTTCGGAGCTACCTGAGTATCAAGTACACCGCGAGGAGATTGTGGATAGACAGATTAATGACCTGAATTGCAATTTGAAGAAGATGAATTACACGAGTAAGATAAATGTCGTGGCCTCATTGCGTGGCATCGTTTATCCGTCTACGTCCATCTGTCCGAGCCATCATTTGTTAAGACCAAAAGACGACCAAAGAATAACTCGACAAAGAGAGACCATTCCGGATGGCAGTATCATATTGATGAGGAGACAATTAAGTCGTCTTGTGGTTCCAAGGGTCGCCAAACCTCATCTGGTGCAAAGATTCCTAAAGCAAAGGTTGAGAGAAACACTGATGGAACGCCTCAATCGAAGATGAAAGGTCGTGGTTCTCGTATTCCCACACAAGAATCTGCTGCCCCTACAATACCTGCACATGAATGAATCGACTTTTATTCTTTCGTGCCCAGATTTATGGTCCGTCTTATTCAAGATTATGTTAACGTGATGGCGGATGACAACTGTGGGTACCGGTGTGTTGCTCTAGCCGTGTACGGGGATCAAGAAAGATGGCCGCAAGTGAGAGGGGAGTTGCTTATTGAGTTATACGAGCATGCTAATGTGTACACGACGATGTTTGGCAGTACCAGATACGTTGAGGTCTTACGCAAGTGTGACTGGACCTCAGGGCCTTGTCCACAAGGTTATTGGATGGACATGAATGAAATGGGATTGGCCATTGCTACCAGATACAGTGCATTAGTGGTACTTTTGACTCAAGGAGGGAGTATGACTTACATTCCTATGTTTGGCAGTGGTCACTTATCATGTATGATTGTTGTGACATTACACAACAATCATTTCATGTTTGTTAATTTGGTCGCGAATAGTCTACTACCACCAATCCATCCGGCATGGGTACACCATAGAGCTAAAAACTTGAGGCACTTACTCAAAATGTACAAACCCCGACTACTCTTGTACGAACAATTAAAGTTTGGTCAGTAGTTTAGTTGTATTTGAATTCTAGTTCAATTTGTATTTGTATTTGAATTTTAGATCAATTTGTAGTTGTATCTGAAATCTAGTTGAATTTGTATTTGTATTTGAAATTTAGATCAATTTGTAGTTGTATTTGAATTCGAGTTCAATTTGTATTTGTATTTGAATTTTTAGGTCAATTTGAGTGTCTGAAATAAATTGGTTAATTAAAAAACAAATCAATTAGTGATTTCGTACTGAATTGCACGAAATATTACATTATATTTCGTGGAAAAATCTACGAAATATGATGTACTATTTCGTGGAAAACTCCACGAAATATGATGTACAATTTCGTGTATTAATACACGAAATACACGATTTTTTTCAATCTAACAGTTTCGTCCTTCATGTTCTATAACAATAAACACTTATATTTCGTGTAACAATACACGAAATTATTGAGTGGATTTCGTGTAATAATACACGAAATAGCGGGCGAATTTGTTTTTTTTTTTGGGAAAGTTACAAATGAAATAAATCGCACTGCAAGACGGTAAAAATTGCACTATGAATATGCTTTAAGTATAATTACATAGATAAATTGCTAATCAAAAAATAAGCAAAATCGCGTTTTCAAATACATCTGCAAAATCGTCTGAAACCCAACCGTTCAAACTGTCGCTCAAACCCGCAGCGCGTGAATCACCCTCCGCACCCATCTGAGAAAAACTCTTCAAAAATTCTGGGTAGCTATTCCCCATCTTAGATCACTGCTTTTGATTTATGCGATTCACATAGATGCACAAAATCCCCCAATTCGTTCGGATTTGGTGAAGGAAAATACAAGCTTTATTATCAGTTAAAACGCTTTTTAGTTTCAGATCTTAGTTGTGCACTGAAGAAGATCGAATCGATTTTGAACTAAACTCGTTTGATCTTCGACGCTGTTCAGCTGAAGAAGAACTGGTTATTTCGGGAAATTTCTGCAGATGTGTTCTGATTCAAGGTGATTTTATTGTTAGCCCCTTTTTGAATCTTATGGGGAAATATGCAATGCCGGATTCGGCCGTTTGAATACATTGTTCGTGTGACACGGTTCGGGTTTTCCGTCTGAATCTGAGTGATCAATTTTGAGAAATTGCTTCTGATTTTTGTTTTTAGGGATTTGGGGTAGTAATCAGGTGAATATATTTCTGTATACTTTTTCGTTTTTCTATTGGAGGATAGATTTTGACGTAGTTGGAGGAGAAGAAAATGTTTTGGAGGGAAAGGGAAAGGGAGAACAAAGATCCTAATGGTGGTCCTCCTGTTGGTCAAGTCAGAGTTCTTGTTGTGGGAGATTCAGGTAACCCTAATTATTGTTTTTTTGTCGTAAAAGAATTCCGTGAGCTCTTCTATTGTATTGAATTGCTAAAAAATGCTTTTGAATTGGTTGATCTAATAGTATTGTTTCTTTGAGCTTTATGATAGTGTATCTCACCAGTTATGGGTTTAAAATGCAATTGTTTCAAGAACTGCAATGGGATTTACAATGACTACAATTTAGGAATATGAAAATTTATTTGCTTATTTCGATTCACAATGGGAACTTCATGTAGTGAAGTGAAGCTTGATAAAGACCTTTATAAGGTGATTTGAGAATATTAATCAGATTATATGGATAAGCATAATAAAAAATAAAATAAAAACGGATACTAATCAGGTTAGATGTTATAGAAGTGGGAAAAAGTGGGTGGTTTAATCCGTGGCTTTGAGTTATTTCAGCAAGTAAAGAAAATATTACGGGTTATTCTAGTTTCAAGATTATATAGATAGGTTAGATGTTTTAGGCTCGGCCATTTTCCTAGATAGATTGGGGGTTAATTGTGATTGTTGAAGAGTTAACTCGTACTATTCAAGCTATGCGATCAAATTGGGAGTATCGGGAAACTTATAGACTGTATACAACCATTTATTGCATATGAACTCACTAATTGACTCAGATAGGATTTACTCTTCCTATACGGTCATGCTACTACCTGCATTGTCACACACACTGTAACTGCAGTTTGGATATTTGCTTAGAAATTGCAAACTTCTGTGATCTTGTATTTAATAATGTTTTAACCATCGATACTACGGGACACATCTGAGGAACCAACTGTGAAACTTCGTATATATTGAAATTTATTTGGATATTATTACTTCATGTGCTTTAACACACTGTCTCAAGTGGTTGTGAAATACTGCTCTCACGTGGCAGCAACTTTTTCAATTTTGTGTTGCACTGTTCAATTCCTAATAATATACATAATAGTATTAACAAGATCCATATTAACTGCAATCTTGGTTCAGGCGTGGGGAAAACTTCTCTTGTTCATCTGATAATGAAAGGTTCTTCCATCGCTCGCCCTCCTCAAACTGTTGGCTGTACTGTTTCTGTCAAGGTGAGACTTTGTTCACCCTCGAATGCTTAGCTATTAGCTAATTCTTTATATGAAGTTCATGCATTTTCTACTATTTGCAGCATACAACTTATGGAAGTGCTGCCAGCTCATCAAATAGCATCAAAAGTGACACAGAGAGAGATTTTTTTATCGAACTTTGGGACATATCAGGACATGAACGCTACAAAGATTGCCGGTCCCTATTCTATTCTCAAATCAATGGTAGGTAATCATAATCGAGCACACGAGTTTAACAAAAATGGCCCTCTTCTTTTTTTGATAAAAAACGGAGAAGAAAGCCTTCTTCAATAAGCATGCGTCTATTCACAATGCATGCATTCTTTGGTTTAGCAATGTTCCCTATGCTTTGTAGCCAAGTGAAGCTGAGCAAACCCATGCATTAGTTACTTGGTATCGGTGCCTTTTAATGTACCTACTACAAGTTGAATTTTGTATCAATTTGATATATTGTTAGTGTACGGTTCTTGATTTCATGCCTTTTTACTTCTTTTTTTCTGATGTGAAGTTTGGTTCTTTAGGTGTGATTTTTGTTCACGATTTTTCGCAAAGAAGGACAAAGAGTAGCTTGCAGAAATGGGCTGCTGAGATAGCAGCAAATGGGACGTTTTCAGCTCCTTTAGCATCTGTGGGCCCCGGTGGGCTTCCAGTTCCTTTTCTTGTGATCGGTAATAAAGCCGATATTACTTCAAAAGACGGAACTCGTGGAAGCAGTGGCAATCTCGTAGATGTAGCGCGTCAATGGGTTGAAAAACAAGGGTTGCTTCCATCGAGTGAGGAACTTCCTTTAACCGAAAGTTTCCCTAGCGGTGGAGGCCTTCTAGCTGTAAGTCTATTTATTTTATTTTGTTTGTGATACATAGGGGTGGAAATTGAACAGAACAAATCGGAACTAACACTTTTCGGAATTTTTTTTGTTTTTTTTTTCTCTAGTAATTCTGATATTATAAGTATAATTTTCGGAAACAAATCGGAATTTCAGAATTATTTTCCAAAATTAAAATTGGATCGGAAATCGGAATCTCATAATATTCCAACTCCGAACCAAAAAAAATCGAAAAAATTGGATTTAGAATTTTTGGATTCGGAATGAAAAATATTGTTCCATTATCGGAAAATTTCGTATCGGAATCGGTGGAAATCGAAATAAAAAGGCATCTGCTGTGGGGTTTAGGTGTTTGAATGTTTTAGGATTTGTTGTAACATAACCTAGGCTTCAATTACTGATGTGATGTTATTTTGAAGTAGGTGTTTTGATACTTTACTATGTTTCTGCTGCATTTCACAAGCTTGATGTTGTTCCTACTATGTGTGTGTTTTTTGAACTTGTTTTTACAAACAATCAATGGCGTCAAACTTCTAAACTACTGGATTTGAAACTTGTGGAATTGACTTTGTATCTGTTAGTTACATGCCGAAATGTATCAAGATTTGATATGGTTTTAGGGTTGTAGCGATTGTGTATTAGTTTTATCAATTAAGTTGTTGTATTTATTCATCCTTATTACATGATCATTAAATGAATCTTCGCTGATAATTCAGGCTGCAAAGGAAGCCAGATACGACAAGGAGGGTGTGATGAAATTTTTCCGAACGGTTCGTAATTAGAAAGAAAAAAAGAACTTATAAATTTTCTCTTTGGTTGCAATTTTCTAAATGCGTATGTTTGTAGTTGATAAGGAGGAGATACTTCTCAGATGAACTGCCTGGTGCAAACCCATGGTCAACCCAAGTCAATCGATCATTGCAACAATCAAGTGAGATCACAAGTGACGAAGACCAGCTCTATAAAAGGTCAAGGTATACAATTTCAACTTATGGAAGAACCATTCTTTTTTCTCCTTAAATATCATTAATTTTATTTTCTTTTTTTTTTTTATCTTAGTGTGATTGACGATCCGTACAAGTACAATACGCTTCCTCCACTGCCAGCTCAGCGAAATTTAACACCGCCACCGACACTTTACCCGCAGCAGCCTATGTCTACACCAGATAATTACAGCATACCGAGATTTGCATATACAAGCTCTCATCAAGAAACAGCTACTGCAAGATCTAAGCGTTCGGATATTAATGTGTAGTAATCTCGTGTTTCAATGGATTGATAGTGTTGTGTTTTTTCGGAGACCTCTTCAAAAAAAAAAAAAAAAACAAAAAAAAGAAATTATTCTTCTTTTTTTCTAGTTGAAAGAGTGTGTACTTTCTTGGTTAAAATGTTTGAAAACTGCTTGTAGTTATATATATATATATAAATATATATTCTTTATGCCATGTTTTATTTTGGCATTTACAGTATTAGTTGTCTGATGCTATTGGTTTCAGTTCCTTGTGCTAAGGACACTAGTCTTTGTAAAAAAGAGAAACTGTGGATTTCATCTCTATCTTTGTATAATTATATAAAGAGCCCTTAACTTCTGAATATTATACTTTTAAGTCCCTAAATTGTTCCTCCATTCACCAATTAGTCCACATAAACACTACTAACGTTTCTAATTAATCATAATTCATAGATCAATTCAAAATCAAACATATATATATATATATATATATATATATATATATATATATATATATATATATATATATAAAATAAAAAATAAAAACCAAGAAAATTATTGAGATAGCTGAAGAATAGTACCAAAATATACAATATTGCATTCTCAGCCCTACTTAAACTTACGAAATCTCTCTCTCACGATCGAACAAGAAGAAATACCGTCTAATGTATAATAGAACAAATTATATATTTCCAAGATCCATTAAAGCGGCTGCATTATTTCTTGATTTCGCTGTATAGAGGACAAGTTCGATCGTGTCATTAAAGAACTTCCTCACCATTTCGTGATCAGAATTCGACATTGAAGGAAAAGGGTATATTCCATCGTCTAGTGGGGACCATTCGTTGCTGACTGTCGAACTTTTTTCCGTGCAGTCCTCTTCTTTTGTTTGTGGCGGCGGTGGTGGTGGTGGTGGTGGTGGTGGTGGTGGTGGTGGTGAGGATGTTCCTTCTAGAAGCTTCTTCGGCGCAGATGCTCGTCGGTTGTTGTTGCTGTGCCCTTTCTTCTTCCAAGTAGGCGGCTTTCCTGATGAATATTTCATATTTGATGACGATGATTATTAAGAATTACCTGCATGATCATCATCATAATATTAATATATCATTATTAATATATCATTAACATGTTTATATATATATATATATATATATATATATATATATATCTATCAACTTTGGTGGACAAGAAAAAATATGTATATTCATATATATCAAGATTCAAGAAAGTAGTGTAAATTACCAGCAAAGAGAAATGATGTACAAGAAGGAAAAACTGATCAAGAACAACAGAATTACACTACGTACAAATATATGTGTGTGTGTGTGTGTGTGTGTGTGTGTGTGAAATACTGAAATTATCAACAATTGTGAATATATAAACAGAAGACATAAATAAAACCCTTTTCAATCTCTGCATGAATTAATCCTCCATATATCTCTTCTCTGATCTCTCACATATATGTATATATACATACATTCATATATTGTGTGTGTGTGTGTGTGTGTAAAGTTTACGGTTAGAGAATATACCTTAGAAGATTGGTTGGGTGCTGAAGAAGAAGAAGAAGAAGAATCTAATTGAGCAGCAGTAAGATTTTTCAGCGGACAAATCTTAACTTTATATAGTTTATTTATTTATTTTTTTTCTTCTTTTTTGGGGTAATGTGCATATATTATATTATATTATTATTATTTATTTATATTTGGAATTTCGATGAATAAGTAGACCTAATTTTTAATTTGGGAATTCCCCGGAAAAAAAGGAAATATAATATACAAGTTAACTTATGATTTTCCTTTCCCAAATCGACCATAAAATTTGGAAATAAGAAGACATGACCTTAATAAAGGATATATTTAGAAAATTACCAAAAACATTAGGGAATTAATATTACCTATAAGTCCCAAATATATTTTTTTTTGATATATATAATTAGGATTTAGGAGTGTTCATTCGATAAAATCATACTGAACCACATACCGGAATTTCGCTAAATCATAAGTTCGGTACTTCAAATTTATTCGGTTTTTTCGGTCTAGTACTGGGAAAACCGAATATGCATTTTTTTTATTCTAAAAAAGGTAAAAAAAAAAAAAATACTTAAACTAGTTAATTCTTGAATTTGATATCAAATTTTAATAACCGGCCCTAAAAACAAAACGTGATTATCAATAGAAGCTAATTTATAATAATGAAATAAATTGTCAATCTAAAAGTATTTTATAATTTGTTATAACCTTAATGAATTTAGAATAAATAAATAAATATTTATTAAATATTACGGTATTCGGTACGGTACAACATATTGGGCATCAATATTATATATCGTACATCATATTCGTTTTGGTATTTGGCACGTACCGAATTTTCGGTTCGGTTCGGTTTGATTTGGTCGATTTATCGGCTGAGTGAACACCCTTAAATATAATCGGTTTGTTAACATGACTAATCAAACTTGGACACATAAAATTTTCATCCGATCATAAAGTTCGGCTCAAATATGAGCCCGATTCGAAGAAAAAAATATGATAAAATATGTACAAAAAAGTCAAGATAATATACTCGTGTTCGAATTTTGCTTCGCTCGAAGCTAGATTTCTTATTTAACTAAATTCAAACACACATAACTTTAAAAGCTCGATAAAATTTTGAATAATCATTCGTTTGGCTCTACTCGACTAGTTTACATATACACCCCCCTGGACCCTGGATAAAATTTAGGGTTAAATACAAAAACACCCCTGTACTATGGACTTTGTATCATTTAACCCCCTGTACTACACATAAATACAAAAACTCCCCTGCTATTATATTTTTTCCAAAATCTGACGAAAATACCCCTGCTAAACCTATAAATATAAAAGTTTGTTTGAGCCATTTTCCACTATATTTTTTAACATTTTCGGTCAATTTTACTTGGTAAATTTTTATTTTTTTATTTTTTCCTTCAAAACATTTAATTACTTAGATTTTTTTTAAATTTTCTAAATAAAAACCTTTTATTTTTGTCATTTTGAATTTCTTCATTTTTTTTCTTAAATGTCTTCCGGTAGTTCAAATTCTCAACAATAATAGGATTGTAAAGATGTTTGTAATCTTCGAATGTGTCAACTACCGGAAGACTTTTAAAGAAAAAAATGAAAAAACTCAAAATGATAAAAATAAAAAAAATGTAAGCAATTAGATATTTTGGAGAAAAAAGTATAAATACTAAAATTGACTGAAAATGGTAAAATATATAGTGGAAAATGGCTCAAACTCTCTCTCTCTCTCTATATATATATATATATATGCTTGAGTAGGGGTATTTTCGTCATTTTTGGAAAAAAAATGCAATGTGAGGGAGTTTTTGTATTTATGTATAGTCCAGGGGGGTAAATGATACAAGTCCATAGTATAGGGGTGTTTTTGTATTTAACCCTAAAATTTATATCTCCATTTTTGCCTATTATGTGATATATCGGCTTGAGCTACATGTTTATTTCAAATTATAATTAAAAATAACTTTCATTAAGAAATCAGAATTGGCATTTCAAATATGTAGCATGAGAACCTCAACTACTTAACGTTTCGAATATGTTTGCATGAAAATATACAAAAAAAATTATATATCATAAAAACCTATATATGTTTATATAACATATTCATATTTTTAATATTTACACATTTCCCCTAAAACTCTCATATCCCCATTTTTAGGATACACCGTTTACTGTTTCCGTGTATCACCGTTTCTGTGTCCGTGCTATATAGATTTAAACCAATTATACTACCATACTTCATTCCTTCGTTGATTAATTGAATTGTATGATATTTAGTTTAGGAGGTGACAATATAATTCCATACAATTATATATATATATATATATAAATCCGCCATTACTGACTATTTTCCAGCTGGGAAGTAGACAAAGTTTACAAGTAAGAAAGCATGGAAATTTAATTACATAAATCCATACAAAATTTAATTTCTACATAATCCAATCCTTTCACCTTCCACCAGAAATACTTAACTGCGTAACTCCAAAAATAAATATTTATATATATATATATATATATATATATATATATATATATATATATATATATATATATATATATATATATATATATATACACACACACACAGTACACTGACACACAACACACACATTAATGGGGTTTGAAGTTATTCTTGCAGCTGTGTGGTTTTTCGCCCTGTGGTTATGGCGGAACAAGAAGCGTATAGCATGGAACTGGCCGCTGATCGGAATGCTGCCGGCGCTCCTCCACCACGTCGGCCGTATCCACGACGGCTGCACGGAGATTCTCCGGCGTACCCGCCGCGGCACCTTCCACTTCAAGGGGCCCTGGTTTTCCGGCATGGAGATTCTCGGCACAGTCAACCCAGCCAACGTGCACTACATCATGAGCGCCAACTTCCATAACTTCCCGAAAGGCCCCAAATTCCGGGAGATCTTCGACGTTCTCGGCGATGGAATATTCAACTCCGACGCCGACTCGTGGCGGCACCAGCGCCGTGCCGCCAGGGGTTTTCTCAGCCACCGCCGCTTCCACCGCTTTCTGGTGAAAATCAGCCGCGACAAGGTGGCGTACGGGCTTGTCCCGGTTCTTGAAATGGCGTCGAAAGAAAACTGGGTTTTGGATTTGCAGGATATTTTCCAACGGCTGACATTCGATACGACTTGTGCTTTAGTTACGGGTTTCGATCCAGGCTGTCTCTCCGTCGATTTGCCGGAGGTTCCTTTTTCGAAAGCGATGGATGACGTGGAGGAAGCTATTTTCTTGAGACACGTGCTCCCTGAAAAAATATGGAAGATGCTGAGGTGGCTTAGAGTTGGTTCCGAGAGAAAAATGAGTGACGGTTCGAAGATTCTCGATGATGTCATCGGGAAATACATCTCGAAGAAACGCGATGAACTGAGAGACGGAAATAAGAAGAAATTCATAGAAGATGAAAATGAAGATGGTGATGGTGATGATTTGCTAACAAGTTACATCAACGGTGGAGATTCGATCTCCCAAACCCTAGATCCGATCCAAACCGCTGACGAGGATAAGTTCTTGAGAGACACAATCTTGAATCTCATGATTGCCGGGCGCGACACTACTAGCTCGGCTCTAACATGGTTCACGTGGCTCGTTTCGACTCATCAAGAAGTCGAGAGGAAGATTCTAGAAGAGCTGAAATCGGTTATTAGTGATCAAGATCCGTCAGAGGGCGAATTTCCGAGGGTTTTCAAGGTCGAAGAGATCACAAACAAAGCGGTTTACTTGCATGGTGCACTCTGTGAGGCGTTGAGACTGTATCCGCCGGTGCCCTTCCAGCACAAGGAACCGAATCAACCGGATATACTACCGAGCGGGCACTACGTGCACCCGGAGATGAAGGTGATGTTCTTTTTGTACGCGATGGGGAGAATGGAGTCGGTTTGGGGGAAAGATTGCTTGGAGTTCAAGCCGGAGAGGTGGATTACCGAGCGCGGCTCGATTAAGCACGAGCCGTCGTACAAGTTCCTAGCGTTCAATGCGGGGCCGAGGACTTGTTTGGGGAAGGAAGTGGCGTTCGTTCAAATGAAAATGGTGGCGGCAACTATCATTTACAATTATCGGGTTCGAGTCGTTGACGGGCATCGGGTGGAGCCGAATTGTTCGGTGATTCTATATATGAGGGATGGATTGAAGGTTAGGGTTTCTAAGAGAATGGCTTAGTGTTTGAAAGATGGAAATTTAATTTATGGGGTTTTTTTTTTCTTTTTTCATTTTTAATGTTTTTCATTAGTTATTTCTCGTTTTATTTTATATATGTATGGGGAACTAAGTTGTAATTGTTTATGTTTGAATTTTGATCAAGAATGCCGAGTTTACCCTTGATTGTGTTCTTTTGTACCACATTAAGCCGGAGCCAGCATCGGACCAAAGGGGTCATGAGTCCACCTCATTTCTCAAATATTGTTTTATATAAAAATATATAAATTCAATGCATTCTGCCCCGTAAACTTTAAATTCTGGCTCTGCATGCTAGTGACTTTACGGGTAGACAGGGCCATGGGCCGGTTTTGGGCCCAGAACCGGCCCGAACCGGCCCGTTGACGACCCGGCCCAACCCGTTGATCGGTGAACCGGCCCGAGACCCGTGAACCGGCCCGTCGTTCCCGGGACGGGCCCGGTTCTATGAAATGGTGAACCGTGAACCGTCGGGCCGGCCCGGCGGTTCACCCGGATTTAAAAAAAAATAATAATAATAATTCAAAAAAATTCAAAAAAAAAAGCAAATAACGGCTAGTGAACCGGCCGTTATTTGCTTTTTTTTTGAATTTTTTTTTCGCCCAATTTTTCCTATAAATACCCTCACACCCCAATTTTTACCTATAATTTACTTATTCATCAAATATTTCAAAAAAAAATAAAAATTCGAATTTTCCGGGCCGACCCAGAACCGGCCCGGATAGGCCCGGAACCGGCGGGCCGACCCGGCCCGTCGAACCGTGCATATTACGGGCCGGTTCCGGTTCCAGAAAAAGTGAACCGTGAACCGGTATGAACCGGCCCGTGGCCGTGTCTACTTACGGGGGAGCTATGAACAAGCTATTATTCTTCAGACCAAACATAAAGTAATGATTAAAAGTCCAAGAATAAATATATGTGACATTGATGACGTCATACTTGTTCAATGTTACATCACCTTCAAGACAGCTTATAAAAACCAAGAGCTGCTGATTTTCTAACAAAGGGCACCTCTATAACTGTTTGTTGTTTATATATACAAAGACAGATTAATTAAACAAACTATCCACAACATTCAAACATTTCCTTATTCTTTTTTTTTTTTTTATTACATAAATCATAGGTAGCTTCAAAGAAATCTTCAGTTCCATCTCTTCGAATTCTTCGATGATTTCGATTTCTGTTTAGCCGCTTGAAACGCCTGCACCTTCTGTTTCTTCCTAACTTCCCTCTCCGCCTAATTCAAATAGATACATATTTGTTAAAAAATAGTTAACAAAGGACCTATAAATAAATAATACTAAACTCCACTAAAGTAAAAAAGAAAAAATTAAAATGTAATGCGGTTTCAAATTTAGTGGAATCTTCTAGACTATGTGGAAAATTCTCCATTAAGTACCCGTTTTACCACATTTTAAAACAAGATGATCATAAGATGTGTCTCTTGGCTTGAAAATATCAAACTGTGGTGCATCTGAAACTGCATTCTTGCACAAAACGAGTACAAACTAGAGAACATTCCACGGAATTTAGAAGATTATCTTTAATTTGACACCATAAGGACGCACGTGTAAGAAGATTCACAGTTGCGGGGATGGTTGTAATTACCCAAACATAAAGAGTTTTTTCGTAATTAAACCTTACCTCAGGGGTGGTCTTAATTTACCACAAAAAAAAGGTTTTACCTTTGACATCTTGGATTTAGCTTTTGTTTTTGGGTTCTTCTCGTCAAGTTCGGCCTCCCTTTCGAGCTCCCTTTCCCTTGCTTCTAGATTCTTCTCCAAATAATACTGTAAAAAATAAAATAATATTTAAATATTCTTCACTTGATTAAAAATCCGAGCCCATGTCAAACATAAACCTCGTCCGCTTGATAAATCTTGACAAAGCTTGATAATATTATCTAGACCTATCCGGCCAAACGAGGCCTCAATAGAATCAAAACCGGGTTTTATGATTTTTCTGTCGCTCATGATAATGTAATAAATAATCATCTTATGTTTGGAATTTGCGATTTTATGCAACAATAGGGGTTGAGTAAAATTCGAGTCCGTTATTTAATATAAACCTCAATCACTTGATAAATCTTTGACAAACGTTGACTATATTATCTATCGGATCCTATCGTAATTGCCAAACGAGGGAGTATATAAATAATAAAAAAAACTCGTTTACGATACTTACATTGTAATCCCCAGCATAATCCTGTAGAACACCGTCTTTTACTTCCAAGACTCGATTCACAATTTGCTTTATGAAGTATCTGTCGTGGGAAACTGTGATAACCGTGCCTTCGTACTCGTTTATCGCCTCCTAATAAAATTACAATTAAAAAATTTTTGCAAATCATTACAAACTTATTACCATATTGTAAAGGAGCTACTGAAGAAGGAAATATGAGGAATAAATCAAAAAAAAAAAAAAAAAAAACCTCGAGCATCTCTTTTGTAGGTATGTCCAAATGATTGGTTGGCTCGTCCAATACGAGCAGAGTCGAAGGCTTCACCATGAACTTGCAAAACGCAAGTCGAGCCTGCAAAATACAATAAAAAAATGGTGGAGCAATTTTATATCCTTCATAAGCGCGCGCGCGCACACCCATATACATATATATCAACTTCAAACTGTCAATTTATAAGTTGGGCAAATTACGGCCAACCCCCTGGGGTAAGATCAAATTACGAGAAAACCCCTCTTGTTTGGGTAATTACAACCACCCCTTCAACTATGTATTGTCTTACGGAAAAACCCATCATTCAGTAGGTAAATTTGACACTGCAAGGGTAGACGTGTACGACAATACGTAATTGAGGGGTGGTTGTAATTGCCCAGACAAGAGGGGTTTTTTCGTAATTTGACCTCAACGCGGGGGGTGACTGTAATTTGCCCTTCATAAGTTTGATGTGTTTGCAAAAAAAAAAACTTTACTTTGTAGATTATTTTTCTGAAATATCCCGAAATGCCCGTTATAGATTCGATTTAGATAAAAATTAACAACGGCACAAATGTCCAATGCAGCTTTAATAAGCCAAAAAAAAAGTCGTTGCATAGAAGCTTTTGAAATTATAGCTTATTTAAAGAGAAGCAAAAACTAAAGCTACATTGCAAAGCTTTCGACCAGAAAATCACTTGTGGAAGCCAAATGCTCCATGGCAAAATCGAAATTCTACCAAACAGTTGAGCAAAGAAAATTAATAAAAAAAACGATTTTTCAAAATTATATTGGAGATTTATATGTTGAAACAGTGTAATAACAACAGAACATCCGATAATAAACTAGCAAAACTTTGTAATACGAGAAAGAAATGTGCGAAAGATTCATCGGTATATACCTTCTCACCGCCACTTAGAAACGAAACTTTTCGGTCGAGCAGATCAGTCTTGAAATTACAACGGCCTAATAAACCCTTGATGTCGTCAAGTCTCCAATCCTCTGCTACTTCCGCCACAGTTTCCAACACCGTTTTATCCAAATCGAGCGCTTCTGCCTGAAAACATAAACACAAATTTCCAATAAAATATATATATTAAGAAAAAAAAAAAGAATCAGAAATCGAGAGAGAGTACCTGATTCTGCTCGAAATAGTTTGGTAATACATTGTGGTCCCCGACGAGAACCTCGCCGCCACCTGGCGTTTCCATGCCCATAATCAGTTTAAGCAATGTACTTTTCCCACAGCCGTTTGGACCAAGAATCGCGATTTTCTCTCCCCTTTCAATCGTCAAATTTGCATTCTTGAATAAAACCTGATCGAAAACAAACAAAAAAAACATTCTTTATATAAAAAATATTTTAATGCATATTCGAGTTCTCTGTTTTTTTTTTCAATCTGACCTTTAGTTGCATTGCAAATTAAAAATCGCGACTTGCAAAAGCAAATACAAAGACTGCACGAAATTGTAATCTTGATTCTTATTTATGCATCGAACAAATTTAATTTTTTATTAAATAAATTGATTACCTCATCCTCGTAACCAAACTGAAGACCTTTAACTGTCACAACAGATCGACCACTTCTTCCACGCTCTGGAAACCTAATCTTCATTTGCTTCCGGAAGAAAGGTTTCTCCACTTGTTCCTCATCCTGTAGTTTTTCCAGCTTCTGTTGCCCCCATAAATTTAAAATAATGATTACAAAAAAAAGGTCCACAAACCGATAAAAATGGTATCTTTCTACGTTATACAACAAAAAAAAAAAAAAAAAAGAACATCATATATAATGTAATCAAAGCAAGAATATCAAGAAACGAGGAAACATCGAGCACTTAACTCATCTGCAAATTTAATTCAAAGAACTAAAAATCATCGAAAATATATATATTTTTTTAATAAATCACAAATAGATATGAAAGACGGAACCTTTTCAGCGGTCGAAGCACGACCGGAATTTGCTCCGGCGCTTAACCTACTAATAAGCCCTCTCGTGTGTCCAATCTCCTTCTGTTGTTTTTCCCACGCAGCGAGTTGAGATTCGACCCATGCAGCTTTAGCAAGTATAAACTCGGAGTAATTTCCTTCGTAAGTTCTAGAAACTCCCATATCAGTTTCGACGATTTTCGTGCACAGTTGATCAAGAAAAGCCCTATCGTGAGATATAATAACCATCGGCACATCTTGCTTGTTCAAATAACCCTCTAGCCACTCGATCGTATCGAGATCAAGGTGATTTGTCGGCTCATCCAATAGCAACAAATCAAGATCCTGCAAATAGTAAAAATAATCCGAATCGTTCATATTAATCGATTTTCGATATCGTATAGACTAACAATAACAAGAAATTCATACATAACACAACACACGAACATAATCTTGATATCGTTAAACGAACTTATCGAAACCGATTCATAACAAAACATATCATTATCAACCGTCAAATACACAACCGAAACGAATCGAACGATTTTGATTATACCTGCAGAAGAATCTTCCCAAGTGACATCCTCATTTGACACAAAAACATAATCTTGATATCGATAAACGAACTTATCGAAACATATTCATAACTAAACATATAGTTTTCGACCTTCAAATACACGAACGAAACGAAACAAATCGAAAGAACGATTTCGATTATACCTGCAGAAGAATCTTCCCAAGTGACATCCTCATTTGCCACCCGCCGCTAAACGAAGCAACGAGCCTATCGGCATCTTCGGGCGAAAAACCGAGCTCGGGCATTAACTTGCTGATTTTCATATCGACTTCATCCAAATCAACGGCTTGAGCTCTCCTCTGCAGCAAATCGAATTCATCGAGCAATCTCCCCATAAGATCCAAATCATCGACCGATTTCTCAATCGCCTTCTGCACCCTATCGAGCCGCTGCGCGACGTCCATTTCTTCCTTGAATGCGTTCAAGAACTCTTCTTTAACTGTCCTAGTGGAGACAACCTCGAATTCTTGGCTCAAGAAGGCAATTTTCATGTTGTTTTTGGCCTTGATTACGTTGCCCGAATCGGGTTCTTCCAAACCGGCGATGATTCTCAATTGGGTTGTTTTCCCGGCGCCGTTTACACCGACTAGCCCGACTTTTTCGCCTTTTTTCACCTCCCAGGTGATGTTCTTCAGCACGGTGGTGCCTTTGTAAGTTTTGGTTACGTTTTCCAGCCTCACGCCGGAGGAAATGGAGGAGGCGCCGGTGGAGTTCTTTTTGCTGCCGCGCTTGTAGTTATCGGATGGGTCGGAGTTGTTGGCGGAGAAGAGGGATTCTATGTCTTCTTCTTCGTCTCCGGCGGCGGTGGTGGTGGTGGTGGAGGTGGATGATTCGGTGGCGACGGCTTGTAATTTGGTGGAGGAGATTCGAGGTGGGTGTTTGAATAGGGTGGGGTGGATGACGGCGGTTTTGAGGGAGGAGGATGTGGTGGTGGTTAAGGAGCGGTGGTGGGGGCGGAGGGCGGCGGGGAAAGAGTGGGAAAGTGGGGTTGTGCCGGCGAGGAAAGTTGAGCGTAGGTCCATGAATTGGATTTTCGAAGCTAAATCCATTTCTTTCTTTTCTTCACTTGTTCTAGAGAGAGAGAGAGAGAGAGAGAGAGAGAGAGAGAGAGAGAATCAATTATCAAACACTCTGCGGGGAAACACAGAGCGGAGAGAGTCTCTGCTTTCTCTTCTTCGCCTCCCTCACTTCTGTGCGAGAAGATGGATAGGGGTGAGAGAGAGAGAGAGAGGGGGGTTATGGGGGTATAATTGTCTTTTTCGCCTAGAGGAAAATGAAGCAAATGGAAATAATAATAAAATGGTGTATATATTACCAAATAAATAAAATTTAAAAATAGATTTCTTATTCGAGATTTCTTTTCTTTTTTTATTAATTTTTTTTAAGTTTTTCTTGGGGTTGTATTTAAAAAGGTAAATTACGATCGCCCCTGAGTTATCGTTAAATTACGAAAACCTCCCTCTTGTTTGGGTAATTACAAATGTATTATCTTACGAAAAATCACCTCCAGAGGTAAATTTAGGGATTTTAAATCGTTAAAACCGAACCGAAATTTCGGTAGGCCAACATTTCATACCGTTTACCGAAATGAATATACGATTTAATTCGGTAAATAACCGAATTACATAAATTTTATGTAAATTTTTTTTTTAAAGTAGGGGTGGCTATAATTACCCAAACAAAAAAGGTTTTTTTCGTAATTTGGTCATACCTAAGGGGTGGCCGTAATTTGTCGTGTTTAAAATGACTAATCAACTTTTAACCATGGATAACTAGTTTGATAATTTCAATTTTGTTAATCATTATAAACTTTTTTTTATTTAGATTTTCTTTTTCCTTTACAAATGACTCGTACGTATAGATGTACACTCGATAAATTCAGTTTCACGCAATAGTCCGCAAACTACACAAAAGATGTAAAATGCATTGAGTAAGCTATGTCCGACCAGCTCGATCTATAAACTTCGATCATCATAGTCTATACTTGGTATAGCTCTTTAAAATGAAATTAAATAATATTTTGATTAAACAAACAATTAATTGAAAGCAATTAGTAGTATTTTGATTATAATAATAAGTGAATAAATAAAAAACTCATGACTCAATTTTAAAAATTATGTGGACAATGTGAATTGCTATAGGGATAAAGTGTTTTGTGGTGCATAATCCATTCAAACAAACTTTGAAAAAATGATTTGGTTCTCTCATTTTGCGCCACGTGTACAAGAAGATTTCAAGATAGTGCATCAACCACACGCATACATATTCAAGATGTTTGATATACACATACTATACGTATATATATATATATATATACACGTGTATAATACCTTCACCTCAAACGGAGTTAGTGAAGGAGAAAGATGAAGAAAAATGAATGATGTGAATTGTAAAAATATGTCAAATTGTTACAAAATTTAAGTATTTTTAATACTTTAATATCAACAAATATTCCTCAAAGATTCACTTTTTAGCAAGTTTGTTAAAAATATCAATTATAAAGTATCTTTTTAATATATAAATCACACAATAGTATTTTAATAATTATAGTAAATAGAGGGGTGCCAGTCCTGCAAGGATGACCTAACAGTTGGAGTAAGTAAACTTGCGTCAATTGACCAAAAATCGAATATGCTCGCCAACTTCGTTAGGTCGAGTTTGTCACACATGGTTAGCCTAGTGTAGTTTACGTCTCTCGTATAATTTACAAGCTATTATACGAGAGTGTAGATTTACTCAATTCACATATATGATTGACTGCAAATATATTCCTTCATTATAAAAAAAAAATTAAAATATAGGACTTGTTTGCTAGTAGAGATAGTAGACTAGTTTAGTTCATATTGAATTGATTTTTCATGTCAAGACAACAAGTATTTTTATTTATTTATTTATTAAAACTCTATTTATTTCATTCATTCATCACAAGTAAACGTATGAATAAACATAACCTCAAATTTCAACGGAAAAAAAATAAGTGGACGTAGAAGAATTCACATAATTACTTTGGAACATTAATTTATTTTTAGATAAATAATAATATTGTGCATTGGACATTATTTTTTTAGTCTGCCTCGTGTATATATAATTATTTTTTTATAATTTAATTTAAAAAAAAAACACGAGTCTGAATTAAATTTGCATAATATTATAATAATGATAGAACTTTAATTTAATATAAAAATGTTTATTTTGTAAAATTGTAGCTGGAAAGGCCCAAAATAAAAATAGTGGATCCATATATTTAAGCGGGTTAAGCCCAACATAATATGGATCCAAATGGGCTGGAAACTTGACAAAATGGATACCTTCAATATTCATATGGGCGGGTCAGAAACTTGACCCGAAACCATTAATTGATTATTTAAATTGCAGTTAATAAAGCAACTATGGGACTATCACAAACACTTTTAAAAGGGATTGTGATTAATTTAATTAAGGTTAAATTACGGCCGCCCCATGGCGTAATATCTAATTACAAAAACATCCCTCATGTTTGGATAATTACATTTCAACCCTCAATTATGAATCTTCTTATACATTAATCCTTGCGGTGTCAAATTTAGTGACATCTTCTAGATTATGTGGAATATTCTCCAGTTTGTGCCCGTTTTACTCCATTCTAGCTCCGCATTTCTATGCTAAACACCGGGTGAATCACACAATATAGATCTTTACCATTCATAAGCATAAAAATACACACACCCATATTAGTGTGTGTAGTTCGACGCAAAAAAACACCGAGTATAACCTTCGCAGGTGTAGCATAGAAAAAACGGCACAAAATGCAAGTCAAGTGGAGTGAATTTAGTGGCATCTTTGCAATATCAACCATAATTTCATCTTATATATATTGAAAATAGAAATTGATTTTGTACAAATACATCATAGCTCTCTCTCTCTCTCTCTCTCTTCATTGGGAGTAATTTGTGCCTGCAAGAAGAATTCTGGCACAGTGTACACCTTTTTAAAGTTTGAATTTTTCTTACTCCCCTTTCTCTCTCTGCATTTTTTCATCACTGCTTTCCAAAAGAATAACAAGGAATTGAAAAAAAAAAGGAAGTGCTTTTTTCCACTGAAATTTCTTCGAGAAAAACACACACACACACACAAAGAAAGAGGGTTTCTAAATTTTCAAGAAACTAAATTAGATGGAACACAACAAGGAGGTAAGAGGGCTTTCTCCTTATATTATTAATTTTAATTTTTTTAATTTTTTTTTTTTATTTGTTTGAGCTTACAGAGTCTTATGTTGTTGTAAAGCTGAGATTTTTTTTTTTTTTTTCTGATTTTAGATATTTAATGACCACTTTTTTTATTTTTTACATTTTTTAAGGTGATTCTTTTGTTGTCCTATGCTCATATATTATTACAGTGGCTGATTAGTAATATTTGAAACATGAATTCCATTTTATGCATGCATGTTTCTTTGCTGAATGTTTACTCTGTCTTCATATATCTTCAAACTTGACTTTTCTGCCTGAAAATTCGTGTAAAGATGATGTTTTACTTGTTCGTTTCGTGTTCGAAAAGTACGATGAGTTATGGTCAAATGGTTGAATTCAAACGAAGCGAAAAAAAGAAGCTTTATATGTAGGAGCAAGTCGTAGTTGTCGAATTTGGCTGCGTGTTTGTTTTAAGGCCTAATCCGAGTAACGAATATTCTATTCAACATCTGTTAATCATTTTTGTTTTAAATTTCTGTAAACGGCGATGCATATATTAATTGTGGATTTTTTTTCGGTTGTTTTGTAGAAGAATGCACAATATCTATCGGTGCCGCAGTTTGGGGATTGGGATCAAAAGGGAGTAATTCCCGATTATTCGATGGATTTCTCGAAAATTCGGAAAGTTAGAAAAGAGAATAGAAAAGACACAACGAGAGCCAGTCTTGGAAACGAAGAAGAGCTAATCAATTCAACCAAACGAAAATCAAACAATGCCCACAATAACGATCTTCACTATCAACCAAACGATTCTCCAACGGTATATTCTTTTGCCAGCCTCTCTCTCTCTCTCTCTCTATATATATATATATATATATATATATATATATATATATATATATATATATATATATATATATATAGATATAGAGAGAGAGAGAGAGAG